AAGCCCAAACCGTAATGGGCTTATACCACCGTGTCTCGGCATTCGAACACCGCGAAAGAATAGCCTCCTTGTGGATCAAATTCCTGACGTCCAATGAGCGATCCTCATTATCCTCGATTCGCATCTCACGTCTTTTGATGCCTGGCAGCTCGACAGGCACCGGGATGAGCTCATGTTTCGGTCTGGCTCATGGCGGACGAGTCCTACTTTCACCGACGAGCAGGCTGTGGGTCTAAGTCTGCGTGCAAGGAGAGGGTGAGGCGGGACCCCATTATTTCGAGCCTACAGATGAACATTGGCCATATCAGGTACGGACCGATAAAAGGAGATGGTAGGGTGTCCCGAGTCAACTAGAGAGCCACGAGCTACGAATCACCGACCCATACTGTCCTATCCGATCCTACTCCGCGTTGCCGAGCCGGTCGATGTATTCCAGCGGGTGGAGCTACCAAGCGGAAACGAACAAGTGAAAGTGAATCAACCGGACATGCACGACGCTGCATCAAGAGCACCGTCAGAACTGCTGTGGTGTCTTTGGATATACGCTGGCTGGATCTGATGCCTAAGCACCTTTTTTCTATCAAGCCGAGTTACGTGTGCAAAGACCATTTGCCCTGGATGTCACTGCATCTCCAGGTTAGTCAACCCGAGCGCGTGTATCTCTCACTGAAATCGTCTTCTGACATATCGCGTGCAAGCGGTTTTCTCTGGGAATGGCCGAGCTCTCTACGTCCCCTACGTCGCCTGTCCTTGGGCATCAAATATATTTTGTCAAAACTCACCGCGCCCTGGCCGACATTTGGCATATCACTGTTCAAGCATATCCTTTGTAAAGGTGAGTTGGATGTCTGCACAACTTTACTCAGAGCCATCCTCTGTGCGACCTCTCTGACTATCTATGACAGCCTATGCTCAAATTTCTACCCCTAATCAGCATTCATATGATTGCTTTCGGCGGTATTGGTAACGCGCATGTCTGCTGCGGCTCCAATCCAAGTCCGTCGTAAATGCTGGCGGAATCGTCTTTATCAGATCTGGTCAAAATGGCGCTTGCTAGACCCGATCGGGCTGCAACTATGTTCTCTACACAGTAGAGTATGCTCGATCGCGTGAACTCGAGTACTATACCCAAAAGCAATGGCGATCGCTTTGGGTGCAGTAGTGGATGATGATAATGGGAGAGGACCGGCGATATAAATCGTAGTTGCTTACGGGATTATTCACGGGGTTGCGACGGTTCCGATGTAGAAGCAGCCAGTCGGAAATTTTTGAGCCAAGCCCCTCAATTTCTTAGCTGTCTTTATCGGGAATCCACTTTGACTCGCGACCGTTGTGGATGTAGGCATTCTACCAGCAGAGTGAGTGACTTGCAAGCCGCCTGAAGCGCCAAATCCGACTACGCGAGGAACAGTCTATCGCATCACCATAATTGTCTGAGCAACAGATTGTATTTCGAGCGCTCGTTCAATGCTTCATCTAGACCTGGTAGGTCTGATCGTGGGTGTTTTGCCAAATTATAGCTTCACCGAGGGATATTGGTGTTTGCATTGAACCAGCTCAATCGAACTGGAGGCTGTGTGCCACAAATACTGAGTAAACACCAGGGGATCATCGTAGCAAGTGATGCCAAATGGTGCAGAATGAAATGTCGAACTGAGGGGTGGTATTTTACCACTAAGAACAGGGTTATTCATCAAGTACCCATTCCCTCTTTGTCTCTGTATGGTAAACGGGGTACGCTCGGCATACCAGCGTTGTAACACGCTAGGAACGACTCCTGAGATCTGATAACACTTCAACAGCAAGATCCAGATAGAACAATGAATGCATCTCAATGGGACACCTTAATACTAGCACATACCAGTATCCGTCAATCCGACATAAAATGAAAACGTGGTTGTTAAGATATCAAGTTGTAATTTATCCCCATTTAGTATGGTGTTTCTAGCTGGCCGCTCGCATGTGAATTATGTTGAAGTTACGATGTAAAAAGGATAGATGTGCAAAAGATGCCTGGCATTGAATGAGGTTGTTTAAGTCTCTATCCCTCCAAGAGGTCACTCTCTAGCTATTTATACTAGTAAAAGTACTTTTGAAGAGGACACGGTGGTTATTTCCCATGTTATTGGCATAGGCGAATTCCCACTATAATTCGATCAGGCGATGGTTGCATGAACCTCGGAAATTGATGCATTGCCCGTACGGCAAATAGCTTCATATTTCAACAAATTATGTTAAGAATACGATGCCAAGATGTCGACAAAAGAGGGTCGCTATTCTACTAGTGCGCCCGAGGAATATTCAGCACCCCCATCTGCCTGATGATCGTTAAGGCTCTCAACGACCTTACTAAGCTCATCCCCTATTTATTCTGCATTTTCTATAGTATAAAAAACACACTCTCAAGTAGTCAATTGGCTATGCCCGTACTAGTCCGTACTGTAACGACCACGTTCCGACACAAGATTTCTAGGCGCCTTGCTATTTCGACCCGTTACATTAATGCGCTTTCAAAAAATTCATGCGCGAGGGAGACCCACACGTTCCTGGGATCATATCGGGCCCCAGGATCCATAGCATAGTTCCCAGGTACACCCTTGCTCGCTCCTAGGGAACAGACTCGTATTTCCCAGAGGACCTACAGCCCCCAAGAGTAAATGATATAGCCCCGGGGGAAGGTAAATCAGTGAGATCACCCATCGGATAATATTTCAACCGATAGCGTGACCACGCGTTTTACATCTGTGCCTTGGCCCACGATATTCACTAACAGGCTTACAATCCTTATCTCAAAAGACAGATGTCAACACCCAGAACCTAGACGCCCCCACGAATAGATCGATCGTCGGATCACATTTATTGCAGAAAAGACCACGGCTTCAAACCGTCGGCGTTTTGGGCGTTAATATTAGGGTAAATCATTGTTTGTGTAGGATGCGAAGCATCAAGCGATCCCTCGCACCCTGCGACAGCCCATAGCCGAAGAGAAGATTAGTGTCGGAATATATCCTTCTATCTGAACAAGCCAGCGGTGACTTACTGCTGGCGACTGACGGATATCATCCCTTGCTTGGTGAACGCATTCTTGCACCAGGCTGCGGCTCCCGTGTTGTGACCGCCGAGGGCCAGCGTGCAGGATCCAGGGGTGTTTTCCAACTAGACTGAATATACACATCTATCTACATGAATCAATTGACTTTTGCTTTTTGAGCATACATGCTGTCCACTTAACTGTGTACACAGTACCTAGCTGGTGATACCAACAATTAGTTTTATGTGAATTGGATTCCGTCGACCGGTCAGTGGGCAACTCTACCATGGATATTGGCCAATGGAACATCGCACCTGTCCCAAAATTTACTTTCCCGGATGCCTTTTTCAGAAGTTATCAGTTGCAGCAGTTTGACCCATCTATATGCAAGTGCGGCGTGCCCAGAGTCCTGATCAATACCAGGTGGTCTTGGCAATTTGGTAGTGTCTATCTGATAGGTCATCTCTCGTATTTCCACTTGGCTAACAGTTTTTCCAAGCCTTTGTGTTACCTAGTCAGCATACCCCAGGTATTAATTACTTCTATAATATGAAAGAGGCCGTCGCCTTTATATTGATCTGCCATCGACCCCCGACGTACAGAAATGTTACGCAACTTTTCTGTCTCATCTTGGGTAAGATTTTTGTTCTATTTTGCCACCGTCTCTCCCACCAAACTTGTTCCACAAAGCGTATCTCAGCATGTTATTACGCTTCATGTTATTCACGTGCAAAATCTACCTGGCCTGGCATGCTGCAGTAACTCTGTCTCAGGCGCATGACTACGAGATGGCAGGGGTAATTTCAAGCAAACAGAAGCAAGTTGGCTTTGGTACTCGCCACGTAAACATCCCGGCCTTTCCATTATATTTTTCCGATGCAGAATATCTCAGGATATTGACTCTAATTCTTATTTGGTGCGTTCGCTTAAGTCAGGTTGAGAATGCCATTACTGAGTTGAACAGACTTTCGACTTCTCAACCCGAAACGGCGCTCTATTTGCCAACAACGTCTCTATTTTCCCTTCGTCGCTCCCGATGCAGCTCAACGCCGTCCGCCATTGGCACTCCGGTCACCAGAACATTTCTTTAGCATACGATCTCCACGCTCGGTCTATCCCATCAGGGCCTGACGGGCTAGTGGGATATATGTTTCTCCTGAAACTGAGATTCTCAGATTTGCACGGGCGGCCAGCCTCAGACTCCATGATCAGCATCACGTTCAACCAAGGGTCCGACGGAAACTTTATTATCTCTCAAGCTGAAACAGGTCTTATTTCAATCACGAAAAGCCACCCACCATCTTGAATGGCTCACCTAATCCCGACCTTGGCGCCACATGAAGTAGCCGCACATAATCCCCTTTCGTTCACAAAGTTTGCTATGCCACCCCCGAAACACCTTCGTACCCAAATCACCGGTCCGCATTTCCCAGAATCAGGTCTACTATGACAGACAGAAACACTTGGTTAAAAATGAGAAGTAGTGCAGTCTATATGTGCCATTTTGTTTTCATATGCTTCCGGTATTGCAGCGGCCGATGCTTTTCGAGCGGATGAACTTATGCCGGAGGAGTCTTCTGTTATATTTAGGTTTACTTATGGCAGGACTAATACAGGTTATGTGCAGAGAACCAATGTGTCAAATTACTGGAAGGACATACTTGTCTGATTTTCCATGTTGTATTCCCAATGATTGAAGCCAAAGAGGACTTGAAAGCATAAAAAGGATGTAGAAGCACAGTAACGGAGTAGGAGATTGAAAGCAATATTCGACCGATCGGAACTCGGACACATTGCTGTTGCTTGCCAGCTCCAATTCGCCGACAGCGGGAGACATACTTTTGGCAATGAAAAACAGTAAGGCACAGTAGGACCCCTGTACTCGTGACACATTATCCTCTCAACACATTATTTGATTTCAGGTCAAAAGTCCCACGGAAATTGATAAGTGTATGCCAAAAGCCAGAACCTAATGGGCAATGATGAATGCACTGGCACCGACAGTAAGGGTGAACATTGCATACATGTCGTAGGACCTTATGTCTTGAACATCCCTGGCGTGGATAAACAAAATTTTAGTCATTGCTGTCTGTTTTAAAAGCAGCAGTAGTTGATCTTACAATCAACTCAACGTGAAGCTGACGCCACCTGAGATCAAGAAAAATGCAGCAATGATCTCCGTCGGCGGGCGCGCCGGGAGATATGAAGTCGACGGTTTGATGAACAATAGGAGGTAAGTCATGCCGCGGGCCAGGGCAAAACCAACCAGCATGGTATCCCATCTATAATGCAACAAGGTCGGATTTCTGCAATCCTGGTATCGCGAACGCGTGATAAGACCAAACAGGAACATGACTAGAACTGGTATTGGGTTCAGAGATCCACACTGTGAGTTCGAAGGTTGCCAGGCTTCATCCAAGGAACCTTGAGCAAGAGTTTGGAGGATGGTATTGTTAATCCATCGGCGAATATAGGTTGATTCAAGCAGCATGCCGGCCTAGTTATGTTATTAGCCACGGTGTACTAGACCCATGAGAAAACAAATCAAATGGAACTTACCAGACCGCCGCCAAACAACAGCATGGAAACAGAAGCGCGCTGAAGATCAGCAGCAGACCACACGTCACCCCACTTGGATAAGCTTTCCAGGAAGATACTAGTCACACTATTTAAGAAAATGACAAAAGATTCCACGGCCTCAACAGAAGGAATCCTGTATCTCCTGTTCCCAACGATATGTGCGGAGGGTCTCTTGTTCCACGCCCAACCAAAGTTCGCCCAGCAGCCAATAAAGCGCCCAAGCGTAAAAAGGCCGTAGCAAATGATAATGCTGCCTTTGAGTAAATGTGCAAGCCAATTGAAGAACTCATGACTTCTCATTATGTCATCGTAGGCCATAGTTCCAGTCACAAGAACGATGAACCCAAATGGAAGGATGGTATAATCAACAACATTGTACACTACACTCAAGATGCAAAGAGCCCAGCTCGACACTATGCCAGGCACACGTTTGGATATGATAAAACCATTACGTGTGCTTTGTGACAATTCACGTGTGCCAGTAACCTTTGTAGGTAGTTCTTTCAGCTTTTCACACCCACTCTGGCCAGCGGGCGGTTCGTAGGGAGGTGCATTAGCCTGGCCACGGCCAGCGTATGCGAAGATCAAGGCCAGACAAGCGTAAGCGCTAGCGACACACATCGCACTCCAACCGAGCGTTCGGTGCAAGTCGCTTTTGTTGGGATCCAAATCCGGGATCTGGCTGTCGTGTAGATTTCCGAGCAGCAAGCCCAAAGAGTTAAGAACCAGGAAGATGAAATGGGACGGAAGTGCGACCCGTGAGCGCAAAGTTCTGGGCAAGACCACTGATAGTGAGGAATTAGTTTCTTCCTCATCCTCTGCACAGTTCAAGAACAAGCGAGTTAATTACCGATAGGGAGAACGAAACACCAGCCCAGAACCAAGGGTGCGATGTGGGCCGTAATAGCGCTGGAATACTTTTCGAAGAAGAAATAGCTTGTTGGGAAACCCTTGCTAGTATGGGCCGCGGTCGTAGTTTGAGTCATATTGACGCTCATATGAATTACTTTCCAATGTCTGTTGATTCGTCGCCGCCGGGTGGTAGCGCAGTCGTACGCGACCCGAGTAAAAACACCACTGCAGAGGCGGAGAAAGTATCCATGTACCGGGTCGATACTGCGGTGAACGTAATACCAAGGACACAAATTCTTAAGCGAAGAAGCTGAAGACCAAAGCTTTCATCTAATCGTGACGTAACGATGCTGCCAAGCACTCGGCAGTAGCTATGTTCGCCCTTTGGTCTCCCAAAATGAGATGGATCTTCCAGAAGATGTTATACACGGGCCGACCTGAGCCTGATGGTCGCCTGTGTGAGGCCCAATAAAGCCGTAAAACTGAGGGACGTATACCGAAACAAGACTATAGTCATTAGGGAAGAAGGAATATTTTTATAGGAATTATAGCCAGCCGGTAGTTTATAAGGATAACTACGAACACGTGAACGACACGTCTATAGCTACGCAATAAAAAGCCCTTCAAATCAAAACCAAGTACGCCGAAGCTCGCCATCAATGATTTCTATGATGATTTTGCATCACATGCTCTACTGTGAGGTGGTTTCTGGTTTTAATTTTCGGGTTCTCTCGGATATAATTTTAGCGTTGCATTGTAAATGTAGGCGACCACGATAGATGCTTCGTCGTTTTTCTGCTTTTGACCAACCCTTTCCAGGTGAAGTGCTTGGTTCCATTTCTGCATTCATGCGTTCTGAACAACGGAGGTAGCTTGCTTGGATATCTCTGAATTCCGATCCTTTTCTGGCTCTTTACTTTCGAGCGACTCAGGAACCCAAACTAAGCTGAAAATATCGTTTAAGCGGAGAGACTTCATTGGCACAGATTGTACTCGCCCAGAAATGTGGGCCTGTAGTGCCCAAGTATGTAAGTTTGGCCCATAAGCGCCTCCCAATGACGCAACCGATCGCTGCCACATTGGGATTTGGCTGGTTTTTCCGCTGCCCCACCCAAAAATAACATAAATCAGGTTGCCTAATCTTTCCAGTGGATGCAAGAGTAGCAGCTACGACAGGGTGGGGTGCACGATCTGTCCATAATTGAATTTGGGGGACAACCCTCCTTACCGGTTTCCGGTACTGCGACGCAGGTGTGCCCAAAATGTTGCGCATATTCGATATTGTAAACTATATAGGGAACACAAATAATAGGAGCGAGGAAAGCCAGAGCCTATCCAGCTCGTCATGCGACGTCGTACGGCAGCGTGCAATTGAAGGGAATGCCTAATTCATTGTGTTCAAACTTTGGTCTCTCAAACCAGTCTCTGCAACCCATCCCGGCTAGTGAAGGGGCTTGGCTAGGAACGGAGTGTTCATGTTGAGAGAATTTCATTAGGAAACAAAGTTGGCGGATGGAATGCTATGCGGCATAGATCTCATTTTGGGTTCTGCCCGGGCAGAAAACTTCCTTCCTATTGTTGCAGAGCAAGCCACCCCACTACAGACCAATGAGCGTAGCGGCTCATATTTTTGCTGATACGCAGTAAGATAAAATACCAGTTGAACTTGCAGGCAGAAGTTATTATCTCACCCCCACAGTCGTCTCGTGTACCATCTCCGTTCCAAGTCCCTCTAGATTAAGTGCAACCTCGGTCACGTTTGGATACTGTATTATTTGCATGTGATGCTAGCGTTTTGGATTGTGGATAGGAGGGAATCATGGATACCCCACGTATTTGATTAAGCCCGAGGTGTATGGATCTGGTTGAAGTGTGGATTTGTAGCATCCGTGGCTGCTGACAAAAGCTATTTTAGCTTTTACTGCAATACTACTATAGTGTTATCATTAAAAGCTCACTGAGGTGTGAAGTCAATACCGTTGCAACGTAAGAATGAAGCAACTCTCTACATTACCGTGGAAAGTCAACCCCTAACGCAGCAATGTCGTTCTCGCTGAAACCCCCAAAAAGATATAGGATAGAACTTCCAGGGGCCAGGTCCATCCCTTAATGCTCGTGCATAAGGGTTTCAGGAAGGGGAGGGCCAATGATCAGCGTGAAATACTCTGCGTTCGTATTGGCTTTTCACCACGGCATTACTAGAATGAAACCGATGGTTGTTGGTGGATTGGGTGAATACCAGTCTGCCGAGCGTTGTGAGATCCTGGTTCAACGGCCTTCCCCCGATTGACGATTTGAACTTAGTCCTGATGATGGGTCTTCGCTGGCTCGAAACGGCCTATATTCCTTCGACTCCATCGCAGACGAAAGGACGGCATCGACTTTCAATACCTAACAGCCACGGAAGTCGTTAATTCCCGAAATTCGATAAAATTGTGAGAGAAATGGCATTATACGAAGTTGTATTCCCCCGCATTCCTCTCATCATCTACACCTCTCGATAACGGCTGTTTAGCGGTGTTAAAACGTTCGTATGGTCGGATGGTTGAGACAAAATTGCAGGATGGAAATAATCATATCGACAAGATTCACTTCCTCGAAGCATACCCTCCGTACGAACTAAAGCTTCTAAATAGAGACTATTCAGAATAACTTCAGAGCTCCCGGTTTAGTCGAGTCGGCAGGCGATTGAGACCCAAAAACACCTTCGAACTACGTCAAGCTACAAAAGCAAGCTTCGTCGATTAAGATTTACTTCGCGCAAGATCAAGAATCCTCCATGCCCGCTTAATTGCGTGAGAAATCAGTTTTAACAGTCTGCCGGATCAGTATGCAATCTGCCGCTGTTTTTGATCAAGAAGTGAGCAATTTACGTGCTGGACACGCGAAAGAGAAGCAAAAGTGAGCTAGGTCCCATTCCAGCTGTAGAAGAAGGCCTCTCAGTTAAGAAGCCTCTATATTAATTATGCAGCCTGTGGATGCAATTGAACCACATATTCGGGCAGCACCAAAGTGTAGTGGGTATGGAGAAATAGGGCATAAAATCAATAGATGTCTAGATATACAACGTTGCCGTCGAATCAATTTAATGGCGACATCCTTTTGATAGGGATAAACGCATTTAAATTCAATAGGTTGGATTGGGTGCGCTACTGGCTTGTCGGTACGTTGCTTACCTGTGTTTACGTCAGCAAACAACTGCTTGCCTTTCCTTCCTCCCACCAATATTAAGCCTACTTGGAAACTCGACACGATCCTACTTTACAGGGCTTTATTCGCTGATGACGAAAATATACTAAGGATTGACGCAATGATATCGCTATTCTGATTTTGATTTGCCCAGCTCAGGCAAGATACTGCTTCCGCAGTTCGCTGAGATATACGCAACCGCTCAATCAAATTCTTCGAAAGATCCACATTTCACCAGTGCTTCAGGTCTATGTAGACATCGTTTCCGCCTGCATCAGCTGGCAGAACGACGACGGGCCAGCAAATACGTTCCAACGAGTAGAAGCCCGGAGCATAGCAGGAACCGGTTCTCTCGACTAATATCCCCTATTCATGTGTGAATTAGTGACTGACTGCGGGTCCCCAGAATCCCAAGGGTGAAAGCATACCTTCATGTATAGAGATCAGAGAAACGAATACAAATACGTTCAATGGCACCCGAATGAGCCCATATGTCGTGGCCCTGTGCGCATCTTTCACGAAATGGCCTCTCAGATAGGCAATGCTGGGGAAGTACAAGCCGACGCAGAATTCAAAGACACAAAAAGCGATGAATCGAACCGATTGTCGGCGCGATGCCACCACGACTACGAAACAAAGGGCTGACAATGAGAGTGCCAGTTGGACGAATGAGGTTGAAAGCTGCCGGGAGTTTCCATCGCGGGTGGAGTAGTCGAAGAACATCGAGCCAAGAGTGAGCGCAGACATGAAGCAGGCGAATATAATGCCGAAAGGGGGGTCGACGTTCGCCGATTCCCATGGCCGGGCTGTGCTGATGGCTTCAGGCCAGGAGTACACCATGACGTACATGGAACCTTCCAGCAGGCAGGTTGCATAGCCGATTAATAAAAGATCAGGTTCTAGAATAAGGTCATTAAATGGCTTCTTGGAAACGTGCGGTGACATACGCAAGAGTTCACTGACACCGGCCCTTGGAGCTGTTGTTGCTTCTCTTATGCTATAATCAGTTCGTGACCGATGATTCTCGACCTAGGTAGGGTACAATCAGTTGCGGTACCCAACATTGACGAATTCGTTAGAAAACCCACCCAAAGCGTCGAGATGAAGTAGCAGGCTACTACTAAGCAGACAATACTGGCCATAAAAGGGGCCTTTTCTGAGGCAAATATGGCAACCAAGATCTGTGCGACCACTCCACTACCGACAGCAATAAACCCATTAACAGCCGACATGGTCCCGTACAGTGAGCTGAGGGAGCACAATGTATGCGTCAGATCCTGCCGGTGGAACTCGGACACCATCCAGGTTTCAAACGCAGTAAAGAGTATTGTCGTGCTCACGCCCCCCAATGCTCTTCCAAGCATCAATATCCAAATGTTTCCGGAGAGCATGGTGAGGTTTGAGAGTACATAGGCCACACAGTATGCCTGGCATGCCTTTTTCTTCCGAATCGATCAGTAAGAACGCCAATAAAGGTTCCACTCACACCGGCACAGAGAAACCCTGCAGCGAAAAGCGCAGCAATGGTTGCCTCTGGCACCTGATGTGTGTTCTTATACAGACTGTACATGAAAGAACCCTGTAGTCGGATTTAGCTCAGAACCAGCGGGAATATGTCGACAGAGTACATACCTGAAGCCAGTCTGCGGCAGTAGCAAATACGTAGACGATGAGGAATTGATTACGCAAGACCATGAACCGTTCTGTAGCACTTGACTGGTGAACATTGTGCAGTTCCTCGTCAATTGCTTCATGTCTTTGGTGGACGGTGGATTGCTTCGCAGCACATTCGTGAGTTCGCTGTTGCTGTTGATAGAATGCAAAGATAACACACAGACCCAATGCCACTAGGCTGGCAACATATGAGGACATGGCGGTCGACAGTAATGGGAGACATACAAGGATCAAAGTAGCGAATTATCCGTCCGCCAACAGAGGCTTCACCTCTCGATCTTGTAGTGCTCACATGCACACTGCACCCTCGTCAATAGCCAAGAGCACGCCGCGTAAGTGTGGAGCGATGAAGCTGCCAAGACATTCAGGGTGACTTGGCGATGTTAGAGAAGCAGACTGAAATACGAGGGGTTGTGGCGAAGTGAGAAAGGTAAAAAGGGATGGATTGAAGCTCAGCTCTCCACAACGACTCGCAGCCTCGGTATACATCACTCTATATTCCGTTTCATTCCCACCATTGCATGAAGTACAACGTTTATCACTTGTTCTGGTCACTCGTTTGAGATAGAAAGCCTTTGTTGATAAATTTCCCAGTCAGCATGTACACAAGACTAACTGCACTGGTCTCCCTGGTTGCAGGCGCATTGCTTCTTGTGGTGCTGACCTTAAAGATGATTCACCTCCTTGGGGGGTCGCAGGTCGCCAACACCCCATCATTGGACCTGAACCTCTTCAGCGTCGACCCTCACCTCCACGCCAAACTCGCCCGAGCCGAGAAGCTCTGGGAGCAAGCCGTCGCAGACCGTGAAAAAATGCGAGAAATGTCTGGCACGAGGGAGTTCCCAGACGGTTATTTATACCCATTCAATGTATGGGACTTTGCGCGTCCCAGCTTTTTCTGCCCACACGATCTAGAGCGAGTCGGATCCCTAGGTGATGGAGGCAAGGTGGTCTGCGGCATGTCCCGGTACGAGAGAGAATCCCCAGGACCCTCTTCCGAGACCAGCGCGGCCCCGGAACTCATTGTCTACTCGTTCGGTATCAGCGGCGACTCCTCCTTCGAGTCTGCTTTGCTTGAGCGGACAAACGCCGTGATCTGGGGCTACGACTTTTCGGTGGATGGGTGGGCAAAGGATATCACCGAGCAGCAAGCGACACGCACAAATTTTAAGAAGGTCGCCATCGGCAAGGAGACAGACGAGACGCGGAACCCGGCCGTGTGGAGCATTCAAGACCTAATGAAAGTAAATGGACACTCATATATCGACCTGATCAAAATGGACATTGAAGGAGCTGAATTCGATTCTGTCTCGTCCTTCATCTCCTCGGTCATGGCGAGTCACGGAGGTGCAGAGAATGTAACTTTACCCGTCGGCCAGCTCCTGGTGGAACTTCACTTTATGAATGCGCCGCCGGGCTTGACGATCCCAACGGACTTGGACTCGTGGATGAGGTGGTTCTCTGACATGGAGAAAGTAGGCTTGAGGCCTGTCAACAATGAAGACAATTGGATTGGCGACGCCGGCTCAGGCAAGCCGAGGTTTATGGAGGTGACTTGAACCAAAGTCCCTTGCAGGTTATACATCAGAAGCTAACTTGCGTGATAGTACACTCTGATTAATGCCTATGATAAGCAGAGGAATAAGTTGTTGTGGGCGTGATTGGTTATTGGTCATTCGTCGTCTCCTTGGAATATGAAACAAGGTGGACTACTATATAAAACAGTGATTTTAGAACTATACCCAACCCATACAAAGTAGCTGAGATACTATTTTGAGCAATTCAACTTGGACTACTAGACTAGTAGTATGTAGTGCTGCAAGGTCAAGCTTACTTGCCTTACCAGAATAGCTTGAAGGGTTTACTTTAGCCACTGCTTTATTATACGCAAAGGTTCCCTTGAGTATATTCCAGCCAACCCATCCAGTATAAAGACTGCGCTCGATAGGAACCGGCTAAGAATCTGTCAATTACACAGACAATATTATGTGTTGTGATATGAGGTAGTTAGTTGCTGCTCAGGAACGAAGCCGCGGCATCGGGAATAATTCCTGCCCACCTATATGAAGACCAAGTTGATCGGTCTTCATGTTGTATATATAGCCTCGTGTACTATATAGCCTCGTGCACTCCAATAAGTTGAGCTGGGAGTCTTCGAGTGATAGATGTTTAGTCTTTTAGACTTAAAATATTTATCTAGTTTACAAACTGTAGACGCTGTGTACAGTAAAACAGGGCGAGCTACGCAGATTTTGAACTTGCTACGCCAACCAATGTAAGAGACTGAGTTAGGTATATGCAACAGGACTTCTTATCCCCCCAGCCATACTTCGTATCAAGACACCAATAGCCAAAGCGCGTCTCACATGCAGCGTATCTCTGCACTGCTGACGTACTTGAACTCTGGTCCTTCCCATAATTGAGGAGTCGACCGATACTTTGCAAGATGGAGGGTGATTGCTCGTAAATTTCACCTGTCTGTGGGCGGGCGGGCCGTTTGACTGTCGGCCAAGGGTCCTCTTACAGAAAGCACATCAGTCGCATGATTCTCCATACTTATCCATAAAAGTATAATGTTTTAGCCACGTGAGTGTCCTATATACTACGTATTCAATGATTTGAGTAGACGGTATATGATGAATGCGCTCAGCTAAAACTAAGCTTAGTAAAGAACTAAACAATTTATCAAGTTTGAAGTTGAAAGTGTGACCCGAAATACGTAGAAATAGTGATGCTGTCGTATCAGTGTATATATATATATATATATGACTATAAGATTATGTTGAACTTACAAATACACTCACAATATAAGTTACTGCGTACCAGTCGCATCAATCAACTTAGTATAAACATGACATTTACAATACGCATAATAGGATACGCCTCTAATTTAATCAAATATCTACTATACTAGTGGTTATTGACGTAAATAACCGGATACTGATGGTAACGCATCGGACAACTGCTGTTTTTCGTGCCCACGTGGCTATTATTCGACCCGCACTACGACGACCGATAACCCTAGTTGACTCTGCCGTCCCAGGTAAAAGCACTTGGTTACTCACCTTCTTTGCGTCATGGATTTGGTCCCCATGCGACGGTAATTGAATGGCCGATTACCATGAAAATACGCCCCTCCTGTATATAAAGAGTTATTCGTTTGATTCCAATCTGCTCACCTGTCATCAAATTTGCCCTGGTTACCCTTAAAGTGTGAGTGAGCGAAGCAGGAAACAACGTGCACGGCTGTCACATTCCCTTGCCCTAGTTGGACGTCAAATAATATCATAACGCCACGTTACACGCCGCGTTACAGCCGAAGCTGGGGGGCCTAAGTCCTAGAAACCACTTGGACCATGATATAGCCCGGGCCTTCGGCCAACTTCGTCATATCCTACCCTGATTGATGAGATGGGATTTAACATGACTCCACCATACGTCGACATGCAAACCCAAGAGGGCCCAGTGACTCTCCAGTTCGGCGAGGTGACCCCTCTAGGCACTGCTTTCGATACACATCTCTGTCTCCTGCCACACTACCGGACGGTTTTGGCCAATGATTCCTTTCCGACGATGAAATGTCTCTTGCGCCTCGTGTGTCCAACTCGGCGGACAGCGAAATCCAAAATGTTCGAAATGAAGACCTCATTAAGACCAGCAATGTTCAACGGAAGCGACTTCCTCGAAGGCGAGAACCACGGAAAGGGGCACTGCCACTTCCAGAAAAAGACAGGACTAATGGTGCCGGCTCTCCGAAACGAGATACTGAGGCATTCGCTATGCTGAGACAAGCGGATTGAAGGGCATTTGGCGCAGGTGATGCAGAATATGTTAGCGTGACATCATTTTGCTACTCAAAGCTCAGACTATGCCAGTGACAAGATAGTGCCTATTTGTCTTGCGCTAATTGAGATCTCGACCATCCAGAGCGAGCGTGGGGGATATGTCTATCTTCTATTTTTCATCCCTAACGTCATGGGCGTAGAGACTGTTCACAAGATGATAGCACGTGTGACCCAATTAAAAGGGGGTTGTTTTAATGTGACATGAGTAAGAACGGGGACGAGATAAGTCTTTGCCTGCACCTGAATACTCGGTAGTGGCGTAGCAACTAACTGCTCACAAATCAGTCGCGTAATGTGTATAGTCTGATGACGAAGGGGGATCCGAGACGCAATCTTGAACCGTTTGAATGAATGTATGGTACAACAGAGCAAGGTGAAGATCACAATAAGGAGTTTGATAGGAGTGTCAAATATACGGCAAGCACTTAGTCTGTCCCTTGGAGACGTATGCCCGAGACAAAAATTGTCCCACATATTGCTATATTTATCCTCAAAAGGGAGATTTCTGGGCTTGGGGATGAGTGACGAATTGATGACAATGTATTGACTACTATCAACAGCAGATAATTTCGTTATTTCAGCTTCCAACTAAGATTTTCCTGGGAAACTTTCGTTTGTCGGGAGGTCTGTAGGTATGAACAGCGGTAATATCAGATGTCGCAGCCTGAAACAAGGAGAGTCTGTGGACTCGCGGATGGCGGCAACCGTCATTGTATACTTTCAGTGGAGAGTATGCATCGCTTTTCCGTTCACTGCGTCTTGCAGCGTTCGGTATCTTGAGTTCCAACACGTTTCCATGTTGTATTCTTCGCTATGGCGCCATCAGTCACCAGTAAGTGCACATAATATTTCATACCCTAATTCCAGCGTAGTAATGCTTGTTTTGCATTTAAAATTATAAGTGGCGTACAGGAAAAACCATCGGCCGAAACAGCATCAAAAACAGTAATAGACTCACGATTCGTGATAGATCCATTGAATAGCTTCTTTTTCGGATGTCTCGTGATGATAAATTTGATCGCGACCCACACCGATTTGGAAGTCAGTTTCGACAAAATTGTAGATATCCTGTTAGCAGACACCATGCTCAGTCACCACACATTGGTAGCCTTGAAACCACGTTTTAACCTCTGAGATATCAGGTGCAGCACTTCTTTCAACGTCGAGAGCCTGCCGGTGTCCGGGTGCATGGCGATTTATCCAACGCTTATATTCAATTAGATCTGGGGAACGATCTGAAAGCCTTAAGCATTATAGTTATGACAGTTAGTTTATCTAATACTGAACACTTCGAGATGGCCAAAATTTTTGGAGGCGGAAAAGGTCACTAATAAACAAAAAGATATGGGTACCAGGAATATATTAAGGGCCACTCATGCCACGGCTGGCTGTCTGTGGGAAGAGCCGCAGGAGTATCGTGGCGGCTTGGTTTGCCAACAGCCACCATATCATGGAATTCAGAGCTAAGGAGTCTGCATAGCTTTCATGATTGAATACTCTATCAGACTCAGACATTGCTCTATTTTTCCCTGGCCACTTCCAGGCCTCGAATCTCTGAAGCGAGAATTTCTTATCCCGCGATGTTAGCACTGCTTCCTCACCAACAGCAGTAGTAACAGATCCGAGCTCCTCATTGTGGTTTGTCTGCCACCAATGTAAATGGGTTATGAATATAATGCTGTGATCGTAGAGGTGTCAATAAAACGCATGCAAATCTGAAGATTTGGCTTAAAAGAAACCCATGAATGTCCCTACCGCAATAATAAGGGCGAGCAAGTAAGATGCCGTTAAGAATTTTCCTGTTTCAGAGTCTCCCATCATGCGCGAAATGTGCAGTCTGAACGTTAGGCTGTGCCGCCGGCCTACAGAGTTGATCTATCTTCCCTATTTTAACTCTGGGCTTCAACACGAAGCTTACGCGGCAACAACGATATTACGTAGTGCTGGCCTAGCAAAATTGAGTCACCAAGAAGACATTCGAACTTTGTATACATTTAGTTCGAGTAATTAATGAGATTTATTTTGCCATTGAACTGCAGTATCTAAATTAAACTACATGGGACATAAGGTATGACGTGTCACATAAAAAAAAGATTCGACACGGGTTCGGAAAGTCCACGTTCCCGACTCTAAACTTACGCATGCCCAGACCAGCAGTCCCTGCCATCTTGCCAATCTATGTTGGGCTTGCCTCCACGGCACACTATTGGCAACCAGGCGCATGTGAAGTGGATGCCTGACCTTCTCTAAGCCGCCTGGACTAATTGTACTATGGATCCAGTGGCCAGGAACTACTAATTTACGATGGCATAGTACTTGATCTCGCCTAGTTCTCAGTAGCTTGCTGTTTCTCGGAGATTGAAACTCTCATGTTAGCCCAACTGATATCCGCGGATATTATCACTAAATACGACCAACATGATGCTTAATTGTGCACGTTGACGTCGTCGAAGACCCGTATATACGGGTAACTGCTATGCTCTTCCTGAGGAGAAACATCCTTTTATCTTGTACTTGATGTCAAATTACTCGAACGTCATCCTCTTTGAGTATATCGCTGGGGTCAGATAAACAAATCCGTACTTATAATTCAAATCTACCAACCAGCCGTCTAACAAGATACACCACAACACTTTTGACGGCCCTCATCATAATGCAGCTTCGTGTATGTCCGAATGGTTCGTTTCTCCTCGCTCGAATATTCCGAACAATTCAGATTCAGCAAGATGGAGTGAGATCAGGTGAGATTGTACTAGATGGTGATTATTGGGTAGTGAGCTCTCTGATTGTGATTCCTGTGCCTCGGTCCCATCCTCTAGATCTGTAACTGATATGGTCAATGTTGAATTGGTAGACTAGAGGGATTTTGCCTCACCTTCTCCGTGCACGTGGACTTTCATTAATAACTTGACTGTCTGCCAAGGTACGGCTCGCCCGCCATGAAACAAGACGGAAAAATCAGAATTCCTCGGCGTCTTTCGGATTTTTAAGCTTTGGACATTGGACACCAAGTGCATGCGCCATTTGACGGCGTTTGAATGCTTAGCGACAGATATGAGTCAGACAGTGGTATACGCTCATTAGAATTTTAGGTCTTGTACGAGATAGACACGTCGAATAATGACCTGACGCACAGAATCCATTGGGAGTAAGGGGCCGAGGTAAAGCAGGTGATGCGAAACTTTTGGTGGCTCATCGTCGATAGTAGTCATGTGGAAGGGACCAGCAGCATGCGATCGTATTGGTATAGGGGAGCTTGACCAGACAAGACATGTGTTCGCTTCGCATTCGACTCTAGTGACATAAATGAGGGCGTTATCCGGTTGTATGATCCGAGTCAGCAAGAATTAATCCTGTTGGACGAGGTGGTGTAGCTTACCTGTTCATAAAGTCCCCAAAGTGTACGCTTGAGACGGGACGAACGGAACGAACGGGGCTAACAGTTGGCATATTGATCATATCAGCTTACCAACTAGATCACTTATAATTCTCTTCTGCAATGTAGTCGCCAGTCATACCATGCCGTATTCAAGGTCATCGCACTTTCTGACTGTTACTTCAACAAAGCTGCGCTGGGGTGCACTAGGCGATTTTCCGAGACAGCAAAGTCGCGTGACGAACCCCCTTAGGATAATAATTGCACTTCCATGGTGGATGAATGGATCGCGATGCGGACGGCCAGAGGTTCAGGCACTCCATAGTCAATGATGTGAAGGCAATGGGGACGAGGGCGCAAGACGCGATGAAGCAATCGTAGTTCCTGCCACCTCGGTCTTACCTCTGACCCGGCGGAATAGGTCACTGAACACAAATATTTTCCACGGGTGACCATGGGTTACTCCTACAGTGGCATGAAGATGTCAGTGGTGTCCGTGGTTTGGGGAACAAGAAATGGCAGAAATAATCGGACCCGGCTCAGCCTTAGCGGAAGGCGCGATAACTCACATTAACGGGAAGAACGGACGACACCAAATTCTGCGCAACGAAGTTCGCCATTGGATGTCCGCACTATGCTGTTGGCCCTCTTTCTTGATACGAAATCTTTCACCCAGTGTATAGTACACGGTCTGAGGGGACGGGCCAAAAATAGTATAGCCATCGTCTGCGTGGAGCATTGACAGTACTGCTGGATCCTCGGGGGCAAGTTTGATACGCTATTGTATTGGTTCAACGTCAGACGTCAGCTAGGACAGTACGTAGATCAGCGAGACAATTAATGACTGACATGTTCCGGTGGTCAAAACCAAGGAGGAAGACACGGGGAGATATCTCCATGGTTTTGGCACTCGTGGATAGTAGTCGGCGTGGCACAGATCTGATGAATTCGCATTGCCTTCCGGTCTAGTGGAATGTCAGGGTGGGATTCACACATCCGCAACCTGAACCTTTGCAGTTTTGCCTTGGTATGCATCTAGACGCAGAAAACGGCAGTGGATCAGTTCATTTGGGTTGCTATGGCAGAGTGAGATGTGTTCGCATAGAAATTTTTAACCAGCCAACTCAAGTATTATCTCTTTTATCGCCTGAAATCGGCCGGATATCATATCCCCTACAGGCACTTTCTCACTTGCTGGTCCACGATGTAATCTATAAATCTTAGTATGGTGGAAGTTTCAGTACTGAATCAAAGGGGAAGAACTTAGCAAGTGCCTTGGACACGGGGCTTGTTCGACTTTGCGTAATGTAGTAATCAATTTGAAGGGCAATGGCTGGGGACGATCTATGTGAGGTCTGTTGGGATCCATGTCTTCATTTTACTTTCACTTTTTGCTGCGACTTTCTTGATGCCATTTTAGATGCTCAGTGGACTCGACTGAGAGTCATGTTGAGAAATAGTGATACTGAGTCGGTTGAGGAACGTTGTCCGGCATTCAACCCCTCCACGGCCTTCTAAATTGAGGCCTTAGCTATTCAACCAGCCATGACGTTGAATCAACTGCCACTAAGAACCACCAAACCGTGCCTACGATTTGTTCACTAGGTGCCATGGATTAGTCTTTGAAACCTCGCTTACTAGATGGTTTTGTTGGTCTGTGGGCCTGTCCTTTTAGTCGCCGTCGCTTATGCAGGTACCCGACAAGGCTCGAACCACGTTGAGGGCCGGCCATACATCGACTCATATTTTTGACTTGCAACCATCATTTGAATTTAATCTATTCATTGCTGTAACTCCCACGATGTTTTAACTATCCGATTCTTGTGGCTTTTAACAAATATGGAAGTGGTATTGTGTTCAAAATATGTCGCAACGCGCATTCATCACTAATGAACTGGTGGATATGAGATACATTTTCAGTGCCAATGGCGTCGCATTTACGTATTCATGGCATCCCCAGGGAGCAAATAAACGTCTTTAGTTACACAGTATATACGCATTTCTTTTTCGATTGAATATCTGGACGAAAATAAGTCATTATGCTGTGATGATTGTACCCACCCTTCAATACGGTCACGCGGGCTTACAGCGACTGTTGATGGTTGGCCAAATTTGCTTAAATTTGCTTAAGCCTGCAAAGGTCATGGACCAGAATACTTGGGATCTAACCCTCAACGCAGTGAGGCTTGATCAATCCCTTTCCGCTGCCACTTAAAAAAAAAAAAAAAAAAAAAAAAAAAACTAATATAGTCAATTCGACCGTTCTACATAGGGTAGGGATAACAGTCGGACTTCTCGTTTGAGCCACCACCCTACCACCCTACCAAGTGGACCATGGGCAAGTAGAAATTAGCTAGGCTAACCTGATAGAGAGTTCTTGCTGTCTACCAACTACTAAGGTACAAGAAGCATATGAAAATTCAAAGACTAGGTGCGGAGACCGCATCCATCTGTTGACAAGAACTGGTTTACCAGTGTTAAAGGCGAATCCCACCACTCAACCACCCTCACTTTAAACAAACCTGGAGGAAAAGAACCAAATACAAGCTCCAAAGCCTCGGCTAGAACTGAATATAAGATCAACCAATGATATATAACTCTTTCTAAATGATCAAAGAACATGCTGACGAACTGTAAAACATTCAGGCAAGAAATGGTGGAGCGAGCGCAAATGATTTTGCAAGTGGATTAATGCATGGCAACATACCAATTGCGGGGCATCAAGGCTTTCATTGGAAAAGCCTCTTGGAACCGATCGGGGTTGGATACCATTTTCAAGGAGACTCCGCACTGATAAATAAATCCACGTCTGATTCTTGTCCCGGTTGTGGTACTTAGCAACCAATATACTGCACGATACCGCATGGACCCTAACATGGCTTAATAGAACGAAGGCGTGCATTATAATCTGTATTGGTCTTGTTGGAGCTTATCGGTAGTTTACACTTCATTGTAGCTAGCTTTTCGACTCCTCCCTTCGCAGGTGATGTTTCGCAAGGTCGGTCGCGCTAGAACATATCAGCGGTCGGTTTGTCACATTAAGACTTTTCGATTGCATAAGGGCGCAGAGGACTTTTCGCATCACCCCTTGCAACTTTGTTCTTCTAGTTCGTATTTCTTTCCACCGAAGGCTACGAACCCCAGGATCCCGCAGGATCGCGATATCATGCAATGCGCTCTTAAACACAAAATAACAGGGGATCAACTTGTACAAAAATGATGCGAAGATACACTCAATTATCACCAACGGCTGAATTCGTACGAAGCCTCCGTGATACCGCCTAGTCCCTCGTCTTCTTTGAAGACGCGGCGGATGATGGCGGGGACAGTAAAACGCGATCTGCGCGTTGGAGAGGTCGACAGTCGCGGACCGATAATTGCCGGAACTTTCATGTAGCGGTATCGGTATTTAGCTCCTAGGAGCATAATTCGATGGTAGCTCCACCACAGACAGAAACCAACGAGACCGGCGATGCAGAAGCCGCAAACAGCGAGAAAAAGCCAGTGTTGGCCCATCTTGTTCAGTTAGCGATTATTCTCATTGGAATTCAATCGTTATGGTAATTACCCAGAAAATCAAATGCGCGTCCTTGCCGTGCCAACTATTTCCATGGTAGTGGGTAAAGAAGCTCCACGAGAACTGACTATAACCATCCTGCATGAGGATGCGAACATGGTCCGCGTCGCTCGGTTTATCGTGCATATACTCCTTCCAAATAACTGACAAGAAGAGCGGACCGGTCGAATACATGACGGTGATGTAAGGCAAGAGCCAATGGCGATCATACTGCTGCAGCAGTTTGATGACTCGCAGGAAGAAAGGGTGCTGGGGAACGGAGCCCATAGCGTCATTGGAGATACCTGTTGGTACAGTACGGCGTACCCACGCGGGGTAAGTGAGGAGGGGATCCAAGCGGCGGTTGCAGCCCTGGTTTTGTTAGAGTTGGACGTGCGGGGTTCACGCGGTGTACTCACATCGTCTAGGTCGATGTAGATTCCTCCGTAGTGAGCTAGCACGAAGTATCGAATTGAATCTGCGTGCTGGATGGGGTGGTTGTAGCCATCGAAGGTGCCCAAGAACCAGGGGTATTCAGCGGCGATGAAGTGGCGAGACTTTTCATTTGTCCAGAGCTGCGCGACTTAGAATTGGAAGCTTGTTAGTGTATGGTAGCACGTACGATATATTCATAATCTGGGTGTAGGTCGATACAACTTTGTTGCGCCTCAACCCAGACCTTGGGGATTGTCTCATTCTTGTAAGTCTGGTGAATGATCTTTGGGATGATGTGGGGGCGTTGTTCAATCAAGCTTGAATTCAGGGAGGGGAGTTCTGCGTGGTAAATAGCGTCTGCTGCGGAATTTTTGACTAGGAGGGAGAGAAGGGTCGAGACACTGCGGACGAGCAAAGAGAGGACGAAGAGGTTGACGAGGAGAAAGATGAGGATACCGCGCCGCATGCTGGAAAGAAGAAAATATTGAAGCACGACAATCAATACCAATAAATGCGTTAAGTCATCTAATTTGCAAACCCCGGGGGCGGGGTCCAAAGGCGTTGAGAAGAGGATGCAACATAGAAAGGGCGATTAAAGAATGCTAGAGACGAAATGAGTATTAGAAGCGGAGACTAGGATAATGAGGAACGAAGTGGAGAGAGACTAAAGACTAAAGAAAAAAGGAGGGTTGAATTGAGATATTCTGAGGTAAAAAGATCAAGAGAGACATAGAAACACACTCAACCTCACCACGTCATCTACTACGAAGTCGTCTCACCATACAAAGCCGTTTTCGGTATCGCCAACGTGAAACAAGCGCTCATCGACCGCACCCAGACCACGCTGCGCCATGTGATTGGTGCCGGTTAGGGCCGATCCTCTTCCCCCTCATTTTCAGGTTTTCCCGATTTCTCACTTTTTATGGCAACTCCATATCTTGACTTATGTGATCCCCCATATTATTCCTCCATTCCGCCGTATCCCGCATAATGGACTGGTGCTTTTCTTTCTCTTATTCTTCTCAGTTCAAGCAGAGGTTGTTTCATTACTATCAAATACTACGGAGAGCCAACCCACCGGGTTTCGTATTTATCTTCACATTTCCCAAGCCAAGGCGGCTACTCTGCATTGCTCCGTGCATTTGATCAACCAACAACTATTCAAAATTGTCTCAATGTCGTATACTTTCAGTGTCCCAGCTGACGGTGATACCGGTGGCACAGGTGACAGTCCAAACACTGGTTCGTATCCCGACTCTACCTTGTTCAGTCCGTTGACTTTATCCCCCAGCCATGATCATCCTGTACAGTATCACGGGTATCATCACCGCACTATTCCTGGGCAATATCATCACGGGTGCAGTCCGGGCTCATCGCCATCCAGAGCGATATGGCCCTCGCCGGAGTGCCGGGCGAGTCCGGCAAAGCCGGTCCGGAGGTATAGTTCGAGCCCATGTTAGACACCATACCACTCGCCAAGTTTGATGCCAAAAATGATGACGTGGAGGCCGCCAGAAGAAACGTCGAGATGACCATGGGCCCTGTAGATCGCGAGCACTTCCAGCCCCAGGACGATGGACAAACCGCGGAGTTATCGATGCCCCGCGGATTCGAAATGCCAACCCAAGACGATAACGAGCGTCCCGCACCCACAGCCTTCAGAGCCAAGGCCAAGATGCCCGATACAGGTAACTTCTCGTGTCCGATTTGCACAGATGATTTCGTCAACGGCCAAGACCTACGTGTACTGCCCTGTAACCACCAATTCCACATGGAATGCATTCATGACCTGTCCGCAGATATATGCAGTTAGTTATATCAGCGGGACTTCATGTCTGTGCTCGCCGATTGAATGCAGATTTGGGAAAGTTCCTGCCATAGCCCTGGTCTTAAACACCCAAAATCTTTGACCAGAGTGTCTGGAGCATGATCGCGATAGTCTGCGCTATGTAAGACTCCAGGTTGATATAGATGCATCAGTCGTCCATATTGGATACCCGGTAGTGGATAGCACAGCTAAAAGCGTGGTATGGAGGTATTTGGAGCTTATAAGGAGTAAATTAGTGACCAAGTATGTCGACCTGAATGTAGGACGAGAGATCAATTGTATACTTCGGATCTAGTCTAGCTTGATATCGTCATACTGCGCTCAGAACTTACTACCACGGCCACCACACCCAGCCGCTAATTCCAATTCATTGTATTTCCATGCTCTTCTAGTTAGGCATAGTACCTGCAGAATTGCTTTTGCAGATAAAGAGGCTGAATATTTGCCACAGCCCTGGTGGTTAACGATGTTCATTGTATGGTACAGTAGCCGTGTCACAGGACGACCCCCACCCTCTCGGGCAGGGGGTGTCCCAGCCATAATGCAATTAACATCCAGAACGCAAATTTCCTACTTCTTCAACCTCCGCGTATTCCTACCCCATTCACCGTGGGGCTCGAATGCCTGGACATCCACTTCGAGGCGCGCTTCAATGGCTCTCTGCCTCACCGCCCCGTTGAGGTGGGGCTCCACCAATGGGTGGATGTCTGCCGTAATTGGTTTGCATACTGTACTTGAATAGGCAGTCAGGACGCTGAAGATCGCCCGACACAACATCCCAGACCTGTCTAGCTTTCAGGTACGAGATCATGAGATGTTTCCGTAAAAGAGTTATTTTGTGAGCTCTCACAGTTAGTATACAGAAATTTCAAGGCTAAAGTCACCGATGCCATACTATCCCAGCCCCCCAAACCAACCCCTTAGGTATACAGATTCTCTGCATTAATGAAATTCTCAAATATCGAATAGTTGGCCCCGTTCACGTCGTATGGTACGAGGTCATCAGTGACCTTGGGCAACACAGTCCAGTCGCACCCAAGATAAGCGCCGGGATCGATTATGTTATTATTCACGTCATTCACCGCGACCGATTCATCCGAGTATGACCCGTTCGAAGAAGTCGGCGAAATGCTGGGTTCTTGCATAGATTGGTTGTTGAGGACGGTTTGGGTCATCTTTGCGAGTTGGACGTTGATTCGGTGGTCTTCGCACTCGGCGTGTTGGAAGATGATGTTTTTCAGATCCCAGACTTCTTCTTTGAGACAGTTGAGCTGGGCCAGGAGGAGTTCTTTCTTTTCTGTTTCATCGCTGAGACGGCGCTCAATTTGTTCGTATTCGCGCTTCTTTCTTTCGCGGCATCTGCTGGCGGCGATGCGGTTGCGTTCTAGGTGCTTGGCCCCCGATTGGGCCACGGAGGTGTTTCGTCGTGCAGTTCCCATGTTGGAAGGTGTTCGTTGGTCTTTCTGATCTTAAAGAACGGAGGTATTTCATGTAGTAAGTTATATAATAAGAGATATGGATTGGGTGAACTAGACTAATGAAAAGTAGCCAGTGCGATTTAATATCATCTTCTTCCGCCGCCGGCCTCCCAACACTATATAGAGAGGTGGTCTGGACCATCATCAATGACGTAGGATCGACCAGGATCTGGGCAAGCTTCAGCTGCAAACTGTCCGACCATTTCCGGTCGTGCCGACCAATCACTATGGTGGAACAAGGGAGCTTCAGTTCCCACCTGAAGTAGACAGACAACAAGGATAGAGTGTGAGGAGAAGAGAGGTGGCGACGGGTTCTCCTATCTTGTCTAGATTCATGTAACATGTAGGAACAGAAACTAAGTGATTTCTCTAGTCCTGACATCAACTGGGGGTTTCCAGAATCCTGCACACCTTGGCCTAAACTTGCTCTAAAAACTGGGTCCCTTGCAGACAGGCAGGCTTGAAACCAGTCGCGGTGGTCTGCCTTAATAGTTGCGCTGGTAAGTAGGTTTCGATACTTTATTTTGGTAGCCTGTACTTTACTCTAGCCTCTCTGCCGACTAGGCCTCCGAAAGGAATAAAGGAATGCGAATATGAATATGTTGAGTATCGCGGTGGTCAAAGCTTATGGCGGGACTAGCGATGGACGTTTAAATAGATGAAATTCCCACTTCTGATAGCAACCTCACCAAGCAAGAACAACAACTACCTATTCTAACATGAATATTGCGAATATGAATAAAGGGCTCAGTTGGGATAGGTAGTTGTTGTGTTCTTGTTGAGTGTACTATCAAAAGTGGGAAACCCGTCTATTTAAATGTCCATCGCTAGTCCTGCCATAAGCTTTGACCACCGCGATACTCAACAGGCTCATTCAAATCCATGTTATTCGTATTCGCAAATACTCAGGAATATTCATGAATAATCATATTCCTTTCGGATCCCTACTCGTATACGAGAACGAAAGACCGATGGTAGGTTTTGTTACATCGAGCGTGCTCGGCTTTAATGCGTCTAAAGTTTTAGATATTAGCTATGGTAAACGCTGAAGGTAGCCATTAAGGAAACAGCAGGTGAGTCTGCAAAAGCCAAACGTGAGACCGATCCTCCTACAATAACAACTATGCTACAACCGATGCGCCAGCCTTCCATCTGATGTCAAGCCCTTATCTGAGGCAATTGATCCAGTCCCTCATGTCAGACTGTGAGAGACTCGCAAAAAATTATAGTGATTACATGCCCCAGGTATGACTTCAAGGATGCCCGCCTACAAACATTCCAATTTGCTGCGATGCGCAATATCTTGAATTGTTTGATAAAACAACATGCTATCCTTACCTACAAGAAATCATGCTTATAAGGAACTAGGCATGTTGCGCACTTTTATGTCGACATGGATCACGATTTTCCCCTATCTACGAGCCGGACATGCACCTCGAAACAGTCCCAAATGTCTTTGATTATTGTTTTGTCCTACAGTAAACACAACACGCGACTCATTATAAATGAGAACAAACATCGTTCCATGCTGTAAATGAACCATGCTGTAAATGAACCATACTGTAAATGAACCATGCTGAGTATAGTACCCCAGATTAATGGATTCTCAGCGTCTCGTATCTGGCGTCACCACCTCCGCGCGCCGATTGTTTTCCGAATCATGATGCATTTCAGTGGCACCTGTAAGAGAAGCATAGGATACCTTTAAATGATAAACAGAAGTCTTTCTCGTTGCCAAGGAAATTTATCTCAGACTATTGCTGCAATCGGTTGGTGCTCCCCAACACAACCAACCAGTTCCTTCCATACTCGGTCGATCTCTTATCTCGATACTGATTTGCGGACAGTGTGTTGGTTGCCCTCTTTGCTCCCCTCGGTATATGGGATATTTCCTAGATGGTTCAGCGAGAAGGAGTTGGACGTCCTGTTCGACGTCAGAGTGGACAATAACGCAGTTATGAGTAGCATGGGCGGTCCTCCCGATTTCCTAGGGTTCCTAGGTCCGACAGGGCCCGGTATGAAGATTTAGAAGGCAGATACTCAGCTCCTCATCCCTAGTGATGATTTAAGTTGTACCAAGGCCTGTCAGCTTCTCGCGTTACTTTCAGCCATGCCTCAAAACCCTGTGCGAAAGAGTAGATACGTGTCACTGCGCTTAGCAGGACCTCTTCCTCTTTTGTCCACCGAATAATATCCTCAAACACGATCCCTTGCCCCACTATCAGCATGGACGTCTTTTCTTGGTGACACTGACTTCTCTGGCTGCGAATATCGGTGAGGGGTTTCCGAAGCAGGAATCGCAACGTCTGGCTCCAGCCCATTCGTGCTGGAAATATTGCAACTGCATCAGCCGCTTGAACCACACGGATGCTGTCGTTTCCGTAACAGCCGATCAAATCCTCAGCTAAACCAACTGCCTGCCGTAGTGCATGCTTGTCACCTTTTGAGAAGGAGAACTTTGCCATATAATCTGTCTTACTGACATTGCTCCCCGGCGTCCGCTCCTGGAAGTAACTGATGACCGCGTCGATGGCCGGGTATCTCTGCAGAGACGTAGATGTCTGAACACTATCCCACTTGCTTTCTCCTGGATTTCGGAAAATACTCCCGTCTTCGGTGATAATGCCTATTCCAGGTGACGCTTGCATCGGTCCCTCCAACTTCTCTTTCGGCAAAGCGCTGACCACATAAACAGTGCTACCGCCGTCATGAACTGCATGGTTAAAGAAGTCCATGAGTTCGTCGTTATCGTTCTTTGTCAGACCGTGGTCATCGCTGAAAATGATAATTGACGAGCTGAATGAGTGCTTGTGCCATGTCTGAAATGGGTTCCTCTTGTCTAATTGCGATACCTCGATGTGGCGAGCACGACTGACCTCAATATCTTGTAAAGCTGACAAGAACCCTTGGCACCAGCGTGCGGCATCGCGTTCGCAAATAGTGTGATACAAGATCCGACATCGCCTCTCTGCATCCTGCGGTGTCAATTCCAGGGCGTCTTTAAGTGCATGCGCGCAGGCCTTACGGTCCCAAGGATTGACCACTAAGGCAGCCTCCCCGAAATCAGTAGCACTACCTGCAAACTCACTAACAACCAGAGCACCACGGTCTGAGGATGCTGTTGAGGATGCCTGGCAGCAGATAAAGTCGTGCGTCACGAGATTCATAGCCTCTTGAAGACTAGTGACTAGACAGACTTTGCCGATTGTCAGGAGAGCCAGATACTGAGCAAAAGGGATTTCATGGGTGAGGAGAACTACCGGTTGGTAGGTCAGGCTCGCATGTTTCGAGTTGATCCGCATAGCAATAGAAGATACTTCGGAAAAGACGCTTGACGACCCAGGACAAGGCAAAGCGACTTGCACAAGCACGACCTGTCATAGCCATGTAAGACAACTGCAAATAACAAATACAGCAGATTCTTCACTAACTTTTCCTACCCATTCAGGGTACGAGTCGAGGAAATGTTCGTATATCAGGAGTTTCTGCTTAACACCAGTGACGCCGTCAAGTCGATCTCGACCAATGACTAAAGATTTGCCGAAGTATTCTTGTTGGAGACTTTTGATCCACTCTCCGGTTATCTGATTTTGGAATGTATCTAGCAGCCTGGCAATATCTATGCCGATGGGAAAAGTGCGTGTCCTGATTACACGGCCTTCAAAGTGGACGGTATGAGCAGATACATCCACACTCAACAGGCGACGACAGCTGCGCACGAAATGCAAACGATGCTCATCGGTTTGGAAGCCAACAATATCAGCGCCTAACACACCCGCGAGAAAACGCTCCCGTTCAGCAAGGCAACGAAAGACCTCCGATGGTGGAAAAGAAGAGTGAAAAAAGAATCCGATGACGCTGTTGGGGAGTTTTTGCCGCATCAAACCCGGTGTCAGTGCCAAATGGTAGTCGTGGATCCAAACGAAATCTCCTGGATGCCACTTTGCCATTATCTCATCGGCAAAGGCCTGGTTGACTCGAACATATTCCTCCCAGAAAGACTCGTCGTATACGTGGTTTCGCGGGCAATCGGGGATCTGGGAGTTAAGAATGGGCCATGCCAGTCTTTGGCAGTAATGTGCATAATGCTTGTCTAGCATTTCTGGCTGTATTAGCACCAAAGAAGCATTGTGCACATGCTCTAGGCTGGTCTTGATTGAGGCTACCGTAGTAGACGTCATTTCATCGGCCCCGATACCCAGACTCCCGATTAGCCTCACGTTCTCGAGTGGATGAGTCCGTTTAAAAGCAAGGACTGCATTGCGTAGCGACCCATTCCCATATTGTGCGATTTCTAATTTCCATGGTTCTTGTTCACCGGATTGGGGCCAGTCGTCGGGCGAGCAATGTACTGCGTCGCCTACACCAACGTCGTTCATCCGGTCACCTTTGCCGGATTTCACGGTATAGGGAAGAAAGCTGCGAGTTATACGTTAGGAAACAGCGGCAATGATAATGATGACATCGGGATGTTTGGGGCTTGGAGAGGGTGGGGAGGGTTTTCCCTTCTAACATCGAAACTATATGAAGGACCATGTTTGATGGTGTGTGAAGCTAGAAGCTGATATCGTGTGGCAATTAGCCTATGGAGATATAGACACTCAATATTGTCTTTTGCATGTTGGGCCAACCAAAACCGGCATATATATATATATATACGTGAAGATAAAAGATCTTACCACAGATGTTGCACGATATGTAACAAATGACGACACGATTGCTCACTCTGCTCAATTAGGACTATCCATCGGACGTGGAAGCTTTAAGCAACTTAAGTGTTGGATGTGAGATAGCAGAGCCGTTAATCGTATTTGCCACTTTCGTATACCATTAATTAACAATTGGCATCTCCTCTGACTCGATAACTCTAGGCGGAAATTGACGGAAATGATCTTGTTGACGTATATCATACGCAAATAAAAAGTTAATGCAAGATTTGAACGAAAATATGAAAAATGTGACGTGGATGGCACCAGCTCGATAAACCACATGATCGTCAGATGAGGAGGCCATACGTCACTGGTGTTTGCCAGATAGCTCCGAGGCTAACTTGTATACCACGACAGACTTCTGCATGTTCCTTCCTCATCAAGGAAGAAGAAGGAATGTCAACGATGCCCGTGGGACAATTGCCAAACGAGGGTATACTAAAGGAGAGAAGTCCAGCCATTAGAGATCTCCTACCCGAATGAACGGGACGTGTCGGGTACAATGACTGACATTTTGTTATAGATTTCATGGATCATAATCTGAAATTGGCGTGCCAGTGGCCCGCGATCCCATTTGTGATGACGTTATCATGTCATTGTTGACGCCGTCACTTACCAGTGCAAGATGATTTCGGCGATCTTCTGGGAGCTGGACATTCCGTAAAAATCGCGAACTAGCTAAACGATCCATCTTGGGTTTCTGAGAGCGGTGACCCGCAACGCATTGCTCCGGAGGAAATCCAGGCCCCCGGGGCTAGTGACGTATTCAAAAGGCCTGAGGTTCGATCACCTTGAGGTGCTTATGCATATTATACCACAGTAGCGCAATCTGCATACCTACTCTTTCTATCCTATCTTTATATACCGCGATGGATCTCCCGGCTTCCACGATTCTTCCTAAAGGATTGGAAGGCCTGTGAGATTCCGTCAACCACTTTTGAACGAACTTAGCGTCGCATGAACAGTAATATTCAGGTAGTACTTGATCTTCTTACGACATCCACTTGGCCTTCTTTGGCCAACTTAGAAAGCAACGTATGAGAGTCACCGAGGTTACCGGCCACCAGGACTGCGGTTGTGGAGCCATAACTCCTCAGGTGGCGCTTCTTCAGAAGAGCCTCCAACGAACGCTCAAATTTTTCCTTAAATGAGTTCGTCTTTATTTGGAAACAAGCTGAAAATCTGTTTCGCTGCGAGACTGGGGATCTTATCAGACCAACTGCGTAGTACTAAATTGGACAAGGAACCTAATAGTTCTACCAACGGCATTTTGGAACAACAGAATCTCAGACATAGAGTAAGTAACGAACGGAATAAGTCTGCAGATGAGACAAACTTCGTAAGACCATAACCCTTACTTTGGACCTGCCGCTTATAACGTTTTGACCCGTACGTAGCAAATACGAAATTTGAGTGCGCACTCGCAGCAAAGATCCGAACCCACGGGATTTGGTCTTCTGGTGTTATACAACATCACCAATCATATCCAAGTTTGCGTTTGCGGTACGTGATCGAGGCACAGCGGTATATGCCATCATTTCTTGTATGATGTATTAATTCCAACAACAGAACATGCCAGGCACCCACCCTCTTGTCTCAGAAACAGTGGATCCGGGCGAAGAGAGGCTCCTTTTGATCCATGACTATCCGACATCAATTTCGGTAGTAGCTTGTATTACTAGACATAGAGATCAAATAATGAGTCCAAAACCACTATCAATAATCTCTGTTGATTTACCTTATAGGATACCTTATTCCTATATGTGACAGTCGTTCGAAAAATAGACCAACTCCCAAAGGGACAAAGTACGCAAGGAGAAAAGTAATCAAGAAGGGGAACCCGAATGGTCGCGTATGGTCTCTAAACAGAAGCAGGCAGTGGCCTTACCTGCGCGGATTTGAGATGATTTCATTAATTTCACCGCCCTCCACATTGGCCGCCACCTTACACAATGGATTACATGGAGTCCCAACGACGAGCGGTGTTATACGATACTGATATAGATAGGAATGTAACCTTGGGAACGTTCATAGATCCTAGAAGGATGTAGAAGCACTTAGACATAGTGCTCAGGACAAGGACAGGGAAAATTCACTCTGGATAGGCCCATGATGCCAGCATACACCCCTACTCAGCATTCAGTTCTCCCAAGAAGGAGCGACACCATTGGGAACTGAATCAGGTTAGCAGCTGCCGACAAAATGTCCCCGGCCCAAGAAAAAGGTATTGCCTTCGTCTCCCACTTTGCTTTCCTTGGAACGTACACGGACAATGAGATGCTTCCGTACCTCGTAAATTGTGAAACGTATTTCTGAAGATGCTGAAACCTTATCCATCTTTCACCGGCTGTCATGCAAAGCGACGTCTCATAGGCATCTTCAATCTGACTTGCGTCCCAAGGGTTGACGATAATGCTGCCAGATAAACTCTGCGCGGCGCCCGCAAACTCAGATAGGATAAGGACGCCTGTATGCATACTATGTCTGTTGTGGGAAGCAATGTATTCAAGAGCAACAAGGTTCATTCCGTCCCTGGTCGATGTCACAACGCAGACGTCGGATACAGCATATAGCGCCAGTAACTCGTCGAATGGTAGTGAACAGTGCATAAAATGGACGGGCATGTATTCCACCGTGCCTATTATTGTATACTCCGTCAGTCTCAGGTTTATAGGGTGGGGAAGGAGTAAAAGCGAACCAAATCTGCCATTTATCCTTCCAACCTGCTCATTGACAGCTGATCTCAAGAATTGGTAATCTTCTACCTCTGGTCGGGTGGGAATGGCAAGCTGCACTAATACTGCTCTGCCAACCCATTCCGGGTGGCCCTGGAGGAAATTCTCAAACGCATGCAGTTTTTGTGGGACACCCTTGACATAGTCAAGGCGGTCAATTCCAACGAGTACTTTTTTTCCCCGAAATTTCTCCCTCAGCTGCAGGATCCGATTCTGTACTTTTTCAGTGCTCAAATGGCTTAGAAATCTTTCTGGGTCAATGCCGATGGGGAATGCTCGGACCCGAGTCTCATGTTCAGAGCCCACCGACACCTTGATCCCATCGAGGGTCGCGGGAACGCCTCTGTTTACTTGGTTAATAATCAACGGAGGAGACGTAATTCTAGAACGAACTGGAGGAACAAATACTCGAAATGGAGATGTGGGGAAACACATGACTCACAAGATTTTCGAACAACTTCGCAAAAAGTGTTTGGCATAGTCATAGGTGTGGAAGGCGACGAGGTCAGAACCTAGCACTCCCAGGAGAATCTCTTTCCGCACAGGTAAGATTCTGTATATTTGGCTGCTTGGGAATGGTGTGTGCAGGAAGAAACCAATCTTGATATGTTTGCCACGCTTCGCGGCTTCTGCTCGGAGCAAATTAGGCAGTAACATTAGGTGGTAGTCGTGTATCCATATAATGTCGCCGTCCCGCAGCCCTTGGACGAGGACCTGAGCGAATTTACTGTTTACATCTCGATAGCTTTTCCAATGATCTTCGTCAAAGGAGAACTCCGCCGGGTGATAGTGAAGGAGTGGCCATAGCACTGTGTCTATAGTTGGTCAGCATCCATTACCAGCAAGCCAGCAGTATGGAACAATGGGGGGTTCACACTTGAGAAACCGTTGTAGTGGCTATCTGCCAAATCTTCTGAAAGCCACACCGGTACGGCATGGTAATCCCTCCATAATTTCTCTTTCACGCCATTTCTTTCCTCCTTCATTATGTCAATACCTGGCCAGCCATACCAATGAAAGGACATTTTGGATGATATCCCATTTAGTCCAGATACCAGCCCCCCTGCAGAGGCCGAATATTCAAAGGTCCCATCTTGTGAGCTCTTCACCGTAACTGGCAGCCGATTAGACACGATTATGAGTCGTGGATTACTCGATGATTGAGCCATCAACTCCGTCATGTTCAGCGAGGCTCCGAAATACGTTTTAACTAAAGTCATTCTCCTCTGGGGAAGAAATCCATCGGACAGCGCTTTATTCGACCAGCTGCGCAAACACACATCTAATCGGGAAGTTGATGTGATATCATTCTTACCCTCACAAGGAGCTAAAAGTTGCAATCAGACGTCATTGATATGAGGTGTGCCGCTGTTCACATTCGAGGACATAGAGCAGCCATTTGTTCTGCTTAATGTCAGGAAAATATATGACGTCCTGCAACGCGTCACGCTAGTTGATTTCTTCTGTCTAATTGCCCCTTGAACAATCTCTGGCTGCGTGTATCACTCACGTGTTAATCGCTGTCGAGCGAACCGATACCTCCACGCTCTGTATACTCCATCTCGCCCGATGGTCGTTGTACAACCCTATGTAGTACGGTCTCGAGTGGGAAGAAGTACTATTTTTTTATTGCTAGTGTGAAAGAGTTGGGATGACAGTATTGTTACCTTCCATTCTAAGCAGGCCCTTCTGCCCGGGCAGATCGCAAGGCCTACCGAATGATTGGGTGGCAAATTACGGCATGAAAACCGCATGCCATTTCTTACTTACAATGCACTATTCTCTGGACAGAATCAATCATTGTAATCAAGCTTATACACACCCCTTTTAATTCCCATCTCTTTACTCGGCCCTGATTATGCGAGTTAGGCTCTAGCTGAGCGACAAGAGATCATTTGGCATGACATGTTACAAGACGCTTTTGCTCTGCTCGGGCAGATTACTGCAAATGGCGGTAGATGTGGGCCCTCTCCCTACTAGGCACATACACATGTAAGGGCAATTTAACATGTTGATGGGCGTCCCTTAAAATTTGCGTAGTAAAACCCGGTCCATTTTCAGGGTCGGATGTGGGATGTTTTCGCATCCGGCTCTTGCTAACGTTATGCTGTGCCAATATGACGACCGATAACCCCAACTTGCCGCGTCAGGTGCGAGAAGTCGCATGACTATACCCTTACCATGGGCTCCTACGGCGCAGGCGAAATCGATACTTCCCCCCTGTATGGGGAGCCAAGACTTGCTATTTTTCGAGCGTGCTTCGCTAGGGAAACCCACATTTGCCATGCGCTCTGGTATAGAAAGCAACAAGGCGTGAGGACATAGCGACGTGGCGATATTTCGTCTTACAGAGCCGTCCCTCAGAACTTTATTCTTTTATCAGCGCAATAGAATGCCATTCCACTAGCTTCAGCAGCTTTTGCAGTCACTTTTTAGTGGGTATGGATATTTGGAACGGCCCCACGTGGTTCCACACTCATCGGATCACAAGGCCTACCCTCCCACCTGGGGGAACTATAAAGCTACAGATCCAGGATAACCTCGACCTGACGCAGAGGACACACCCAACTCAATTAATTTACATAATCATAACCAGGCATTGTGTAGGTTATCAAGGCCACCCTTTCACTCGTGAACCAGAACGTCCTTTCTTAGGGGAAAATCGCATTACGACAACCAACTATTACCTATGGAATCAAGCCAACAAAGCTTATTCTCAACTCTACAAACCCACTTTTAAATTATAAGGGCTGCTTCTACCGGAAAGAGAAATTCGATCCTGTTCTTGCCTACGACACCCTCAAGAGCCACAGATGGAATGTACAGTGGGTCACCAAATACGGCCGCCACCAAAGGTCGCATTATCACGCCGAATCCCATGAGACGATGGTAGTATTATCTGGTTCTGGTGTGATTCGGTGGGGTGTTGCAGATCTAAGCGACGATGTGAAGGAGACCACCTACGGCGATTCCTACGAAGGTGGCGGTATCGAAATGGATGCCAAAGTTGGTGACGTTTTTGTAATCCCGGCCGGTATGGCACACAAAAGTTATAATCCTCGTTCAAAGAATTATGACTTCAGACGTTTGACTGGAGAGGCGCGTGTTATTGAACCGAACGAGTTCAAGAATACGGTAGAGCATTTGCCGTCGACTGAGTTTATCATGTTAGGTGCGTATCCTCATGGGTCTACTTGGACATGGGGTGGAGAGGGAGGGGAGCATGATGGTCAGTTTGAGTCTGTATGGAATGTTCCAAAACCAGAGTTTGATCCTATTCTTGGTGATGAAGGTGGTACCTGCAAATACTGGTAACATCACCTGTCATTGCTGTCATACTACGGCGCGCTTTCCGTTGTGTTTACAAGATGTCTAAGGAGAGAGATCAGGTTCAAGTGCAGACAGGCCTGAAGCAGGTGAGGTTTGGAATTCACCGGTCAGGAGGGTCGGGACAACCGCAGTTGGATCCGCTACCATCTGTATCTATACAGTAGTGGTTAAACATGTTGCGATATCAGCATTTTATGCCTCCGGTTTATCACATCCAGGATTCGTACGCAAGTGCCAGCTAGGGTAGCCGTGGACCTTTCATCAGTACTAACAATGGGAGAGGGGGGAAGTGTTGGAATAGGTGTTGTTGTTCTTGCTTACTATCAGAAGTGGGAATTCGATCTACTTAAACGTCCAAGATCAAGGAGAGGTGTTGAAAAAATCAGCTTGTGCCAAGCATAGGCACTCTTGGCAATGAGTCCGACAAATCTGCCCGAGCAGAATAACACTCTTTGTCTGGACCCACGAACGGTCATGCAGTTGGTGAAAAATGGTTCACTATCACGTTTTCGTTGATTTACCCACCCTTTCGAGAGTAATCCCGATGTTTTCAGACATACGAATAAAATGATTCCTAAGGGCGCTCAAGCGCTTCTTCGGTCCAGTAACCGACATAGTAAACTCGGTACTCATCGTACCTTCAACATCCCTGGACGACCGATCATGAGTTCGCTCTGCTACTTATGAATGTACGGGCGAACCGCGGGACAAATTGTGCTGATGTCACTGCCTTGCGTGAAGACAAGCAACCTGGTCGTCATCTCTCTTATATCAATCAGTACCTGCGCTCTTGTACGCCATAAATTCCGGTATTGTCGGTAATCAATATCTGTCCGGCGATACTGTTAGCAAGTCACCTTAGTCGGCCACGAAGCAATCCTCCAAGGCTATCAACGGATCACTGCAATCTAAAGTGTTGACAATAAAACCGATCAATATTGCAGCTTTTTCGCCTCCCTCGACTATAGTGCTGCCGCGGTTTTATAAAAGCCTTTTCATCCAACATCGGCTCCTCGGCGAGTAGTGTCTTTCAATATCGTACGGAACCGGTGTCATGCATACTGGCGGCAGTGGGGATAATTCCAGCAGCAGTGGGGGCGGCGACAGCCGGAGTAGTTGTTCGTGTATCGATTTCCACCATCTCATGCCTTGCTTAACTATTTGCAGTGATGATCATTGTCTACAGCATTGTGGGGGTCGTCACGGCTCTTACCCTCGTTATCGTTATCAGGGGCGCTGCCCATGCTCATCGGTATCCAGAGAGATGTGGACCTAGCCGGACGACAGGCCTTCAAAGACAGAGTAAAGCGCGAGGTCTAGCAAGCATCTTGCTATATACTCTTCCGATCGTCAAATTCGGCGAGATCAACGGTGTTGATGTTTCCAAGAGGGATATCGAGATGCCTATGGACTCTGAGGACCTTGCCCAGAAGTACTTCATATATCTGGAAAATCTCGAGGCCGGCCAAACAACGACCCCGGCGCCTGCATTTTCGATCAATAAGAATACCGATCAACGTATAAAGGCCGATGCCGCCCCTGGAGCGGGCAACTCCTCCTGTCCTATCTGCACTGATGACTTCTTTGATGGCCAGGATATGCGTGCCCTACCCTGCAGCCACCAGTTCCACCCGGACTGTGTTGACCCGTGGCTTGTAAATGTTTCGGCCACTTGCCCCCTCTGGTATGTCCTCGGAATTCCCATTTTGTCACCAAGTCAATTTCACCAGAGCTAAGAATTCCGGCTAGCCGGGTGGACGTCAACATCTCTACAAGCGAAGAGAGCAATGCCAAGCACGCCAGCGAAAACGCTGAAAATACGGGAGAATCTCTAGCTGACTGCAAGTCCACTACAACTGATGATACAAGATGGCCATACCACCGTTTGACAAACTACCTGCAGGGTAGGCACGATGGCGACGATACGAGAACTATTGCATATGGCGCCGCGCATCTCAATTGTAATCGCCTCACCCAGCAACTCGGTGAGGGGCGTCGAACTCGCACTCCTGCTCACGGCGAGGTCTTCAGTCCGAGTGAAAGCGATACCTCGATGCTGATGGTCCCAGCGCCTGCACACATTTCTCCACCTCACTAGTTTCCTGTCAGAGCATGAAGCAGTAAATTACCGCTAACTGGTGATTGGTCACATGGGATATCGACCTGCTTTATGTTCTGTATGTAATTTGGCGTCATTTTTCAGCTCTGGTGCGTAACCACCGAGTATCGGCGTATTAAACGCATAGACCCTCAGGGTATTTCAACATGCCCTCGATCGCATATTCTATTCTTCAATCAATCAATCTTTTCATCCTGAATTAGTTCCGCTTGATCTCATTCGTCCCGAATGCATACTAGCCTATACACTTTTAGTGTGTTCCGACATTTCCCCTTTACTCTTAGGCCAAATTCGCAACCTTGTACAGCTTGCAGCTTGCAGCTTGCACATAATCAGTGTCCAAGTACGAGCCCTGCCACGCGTTACTTGCCGACCTGTCGTTCCACCTTGTCTTGTCTGAAGTGTGGTGTCATCCTTTGATCATCATTACAAAGAGCGCTTCTACCCGTTTCTAGATAGCATCTCATGAGAGATGATAGCATAGATCTAGCAGTTACTGGAATGCGGTAATACGTGCTCCCGTTTACCTACGGATTGTGCGATGGTTATAGAAGTTGTTGCATCATCGATAGCCTTTGCCAAGCCTAGCCCCCCCCTGGCAGCGGGTTCAAACCTTTGCTGCTCGGGCAGAACAACAACGCTGAGGTATCGGAATCCGAACACTGAGATTGCGAAGCAGTCTACTTTCTTCCATATGCCAACCATAATAGCTTATATGCAGCGCTTAGCTCGTCTACAATCAAAGACAGTACTTCAACTTTCACGGGTAAGTAACCGTCAGCGACTGGCAACAGTCATACTCCATAGCCAATTTGGTGAGGCTTCGCGCGACAACTCTTGTGCAAAATTAATTAGAATTTCCTTCACAGCTTCCCAACCCTTGGCTAAGCGGACACCGAGGATTTTCGTAGTTTGGATTGAAAGATCAGGGTTACGGAAGAATAGCCGTGTCCAGCTTCCAACCGCCTGACGTTAAGCCTTATTCCCAAATACTAGAATCCTTGTCTTACGTTGTCGCATATTGTATTTGTCCTTCCGACAAATTCTGCAAGAAGCTTTGTCTATCAAAGTCTTTGCCAAGGTCACACGACCCGACGGCGCCTAGTATTCAATTACGCAATATTCGAAGCTGTAACTGTTGAGTCCGCGTCTGACATTCTCTCAAGTGTAGTTTATCACATTTGTTGCACACGGATAAATCATAAGCCGCCAATAAGCTAGCTATGAGTCATTCGCAGAAATCGTGCAGTGTGTTATTCGCGAACCCAAGAAAATCTTCTCAATTCGACAAGACGAAGCGCGGTCTTGTAAATCTTGTCCCGACTCGGCAGCACGGGAGAGAATGATTTCCATTCCCATAATCAGGGAAGTCGCGGAAATCCGGATGTACGGTACCCGCTAGATGCTGACCGAGCAAAACCTCGAGCTTCTTCATCTTGTAGATTCGTGCATCTCCGATAGTAAACTATAGTGGTTGCCTTGATTGAAATCCTGCCCGCAAAAGTTAGAGAATAGCCAGGCACGACGGGAGGATACAGGTAATCGCATTCTTCCGCATTTGAGACCTGTCGTAGTCACGGTCCCACGGACACGGAAGTATGCACTTGAAGTTCTTTTGCATCATTATGAGTAGCCCGAAATAGCCGGTCATTCTAAGATTTAAATTGAAGAGCACGTCCGGTTTTCTTCTTTTTCTATATTAGGTTTTGTGTACTCCCATATCCTTTACTTTGTCTATCTTCCAGGAAAGTCAACGACAACGCCATGCTGGCAAACCAAACCCTCTCAAAAGCACGACTGCTAGGGAAACATCGCTGGCCCAAGGCATACCATTGCAGAACCATTACGCATGATCTGCGGCCTCTCCAACAATTCGATGTGCGAAAGAAGGTCATAACGGTTACTGGAGGTGCAAGGGGTCTGGGCCTTGAGATGGCGAAACAACTATCCGAGGCTGGTGCACACGGTAAATTTGCCAGGCTATTTAGCACCGCTACAATTTCTGACCATGAATAGTCTACTGTTTGGATCGACTAGATAGTTCCGACACCGAAGCTCCATTCACTGAGTACCAGCAGAGTCCCTTCCGTGGCTCGCTGCACTACATAAAGGTTGATGTGGTGGATGCTCAGAGTGTGAATAAAACCATTTCTTCGATTGCCGAGCACCACGGGCGTCTAGACGGCTTGGTGGCTGCAGCGGGAATTACTCGAACAGAAGCAGCCCTCAAACTTTCGCAAGAAGACCTGGAAACCGTCATGAACGTCAACTTTTTTGGCGCATTCAATAGCGCTACAGCAACGGCCCGACAAATGCTCAAATTCAAGACACCAGGATCCATTCTGTTGGTAGCTAGTATGAGTGGTTTGATTGCAAACAAGGGCATCTTTTCACCGATCTACAACGCATCCAAGGCTGCAGTTATCCAACTGGGGAGAAACCTGGCTCAGGAATGGGGGCCTGTGGATGCTGAAGGAAGGGGCGGCATACGTGTCAATAGCTTGTGTCCAGGCCACATACACACGCCCATGGCGAAGAAGGCAATGCAGGATAATCCCCGCGCGAAAGAAGTATGGGAGCAAGAGAATATGCTAGGAAGAATCTCCGAGCCACACGAGTTCCGGGGTGCCGCACTTTTTCTCATGAGTGATGCAAGCAGCTTTATGACAGGGAGCACCGTTGTTGTTGATGGCGGGCACACGGCCTGGTGAGTCATCGCTCCACATACAATTGTCCGAACGTTGAGTTGTGGAGGATGGGTCTATCGTCAATAGTCGTTAATGGAGGGAGGTCACAAATTACTTCGGTGGCATTGTTTTACGCGTTGAGGCTGTAGCTAAAGTAAGGTCAACAAATATAGCAAAGAGGCACGCTTCATTTCCATGTCAATGCTACCCAGTATGCTAGAGTTAAAGGTGTATCACAAAATATATGGATTGTAAAGCAACTTATCGTAAATGATACTTATCGAACGGTGCGTCTTTGTGGACAGGTGAGCTATTACGGCCAAGTTTACCTCTAATGTAAACAGCCGCTCACACTCTATCCAGTAGTTTCAGCTAAACTAATTCGTTATTACCTCAAATGTTTACTATGAATATTTCCCTCGTGTTCTCCAAACAATGCCTCTTGCCCTCGCCACGACGTTACATTTAGGGACTGACGTAACAGTCTACTTTTAGCCTATCTCAAGAGTTCACTGCTAGAATAGGTCGTGGGGTACTTTCAGCGTGTAATATGAGGCACCTGCATACATTCAGACTGTCTATTGGACGAATGCCTTCGTGAGAAATTAGGTTCCTTATCTAAGTTGGCTTTGAAATATCTTGAAACAAAGCCGTTCTAGAAAAGAGAAACATGAGCGTACGTTGCAGTTCTAAGTATATAAAACGCCCTAGGATGGATCTGAGTAGGCTACATTCTGGCATAATACCAAATATCGTGGAAACTGTCTTGACCACAGCAGTTTATATATGCCATTTGAGCAAAGAACCACTGCCATTGCCAAAATTGTTGTTTGAATAATAGACAACAATGTAGGTAAAATCCGGCCGTCTTAGTTTCGCGTATGCCTCATCAGCGTACTGACAAATATTCTCCCCCATTCCGCACTGCACTTTAAATTCTCAGTCATGGTAAACACGGAAAATGGTACGTAAGACTTGATCATACCTTGTGCGGGTAGTGATGGAATCGCGCATGCGCGAATATCTCCGTAGTTGTTCATTCTCATCCATAGTATATCCTGGTATATGGCGTGCGATAATTCAGAAGCGCTTCCGACTCGACCAATATGAATACCGTGCAACTGCATCTCTTTGCGCTTAGGGTTACCGGAGCTGCCCGGGCGGAAAATTGAACTTGCACGAGGGTACTGGTAAGTACTACGTAATTGAACCATTGGGATGCAGTGAGTCGAGCCCAGTAGATAGGAAACAGAAATCAACACTTTTTTCTGATCATCTTTGTTATTCCCCTTTTTGATTCCGTTGCCTTTCGCTGGCCAGTAAATCCGGTGTATTTCCACAGCTATACAGAACACTTCTGATAGATTGTTTCATACTATAGAAAGTGCAGAATAAATAGGGGATGAGCTTAGTAAGGTCGTTGAGAGCCTTACGATCGTCAGGCAGAGGGGGTGTTGAATATTCCTCGGGCGCACTAGTAAAATGGCGACCCTCTTTTGTTGACATCAGGGGCTTGCTTCTTAGTAAGCTTCTCTTGTGGATCCTGTCCAAAACGGGCTTAGTGGTGAACTACCACTGACAACATACCAGGCTTAAGATACGATGGAAGGATGCGGAATGAATTACATTTGCAGCCGATATGACCATATACCAGACACCGGGGACAAGATAGATATGACAATTAGTAGTTGTCCTGATTGATAGCAGCCTTCGCCTCCTTCTTAGCGAAATGCTTGGCCTTCTCAAGGTCCATAAAGTCAATGCCCTTAGTCTCGAACAGATTGTCGATTTCAGCACCGGCGATACCAGCAATGAGCTCCTTGGCCATAAGGTGATTGTCGGGCTGGCCTAGTATGAAGAAGGATTAGTTACGCGGCGAATCCCAGATAAATTGATTGGAAGGGGTCTTACCACCGTCGACCCTTTTGTCCTCGTATAGCTTCACCGCCTCGAAAACGGCGGCAGCACCGATCAACTCGTGGGACCAGTGACTCTTGTAGCCCTCGGTGCCGTAGACCTCCGCGTGAGCGCGTGCATACTGATGGTTGTTGCCTGTTAGTCACAGGTAGTCAGTACCTATATAAACAGTGCATGCATGTAGGGGGTCGAGAAAAGGTTGAAATGGTGGAGTAGACGCACTGAAGAAGCTCATGCTGCGAGTTGGAGATATAGATTGGAAGAAAGGGCAGGGAGAAAGAGTGCTCAGATGGAGATAGAAAGCGGAAGATCGTAGGTGTTAGGAGGGGCATGTGTGCCCCGCACTCACCGTCAAGGGGCCTCACCCAATAATGGAAAGTTAATGGAAAGTCTGGGGCAAATATTTCGAATATCGCGCAAGGATGCAAATTGCGGTAGTCTGACGTCTGTCGGATATATATTGACGGCGCTGGTAGCTAGGAAAGCTAGAGCCAGAGATAGCAAGATGGGGTGGAAGGATCAGAGTTCAGTTGGTAGTTACAGAGTTGAACTTGGGATTGAGAATGAACTGCATGGTCCTGAATATGAGTTCTTCTTGAGGTTGACGAGGCATTCCAGCTGTTTGTTACGTAGTCCTTTTGGAAATACTATGGCATAGTGACGGAAATGCGGCAGAACAACAATATACTAACCTCAACGGTATTTAACTTACAATTTGTGCGGACCTCGATGAGTAACTAATAAATAGGGGATGAGCTTAGTAAGGTCGTTGAGAGCCTTACGATCGTCAGGCAGAGGGGGCGATGAATATTCCTCGGGCGCACTAGTAAAATGGCGACCCTCTTTTGTTGACAAATTATAAAGATATTGAGAAGTCCAGAAGTCGTCTCCAATGTGAGAAATCTCTGGGTCTTTAAGAGAAGCAGGTGGACAAGGGAGAGAGCCTGAGGCAATAGGACGGGGTAGTTCTGCGTTGAAACTAGTAGCTACTTTTCCTTGGAGCAGCACACTGCGAATACAATCTGTTTGTCACGAGAGCTGTTTTTCAAACAAAATAGCGCGCCAGTATACACCGCTCACCGCATGAGAGTGGCCCTTAGGGTTGGCCTTATGGAGTGGGAGTGGCACTGTCCATTTTCTGCCCGGGCAGATCAAACGAGCAAAACCACCCGGATGAACTAGCGATAAAGTGTAAGCTCATCGCCTGGATCCAATGACAAAGACTACATAGCTACCGCTGCCCGGAATGTATGAAATAGATATAGAATAATTTGTGTTGCCTCTAGGAGCTATAGTCTGGTGTTCAGATGGCAATCATCTTTCCGTAGACATATTGTTGACGATTGATAGATCGGTAAGCTCTCATACGTAGCAATGGATTATCTGTCAACAAAAGAGGGTCGCCATTTTACTAGTGCGCCGCCCGAGGAATATTCAGCACCCCCTCTGCCTGACGATCGTAAGGCTCTCAACGACCTTACTTAGCTCATCCCCTATCTATTCTGCACTTTCTTTAGTATATAAAAAACACTCTCTCAAGTACCCAATTGGCTATGCCCGTACTAGTCCGTACTATAACGACCACGTTCCGACAGCTTTCATAACCCTGCTGATTAATGTTGGTTTTTTGTGCATGCTGTAACTAAGCCCAGATCTCGGCCCGACATTTTCCCGGCCCAATCCGGTGGTTCAACTACTCCAAGAAGCAAGATATCAAGATTCAACGGCAACAACCTGGTAATAAAAGTCATGGAAAACAATGGCGACACTGTAGACCCGCTTGCATAGGAACTACCAAGAAAAAGTCGAATTTTACCAGGATTTTGTACTGTTCTGGCACTTAGAGAATTCGTGACCGTCAAAGCATAGATATATATATTTGTCGGATTGACGGATACTGGTATGTGCTAGTATTGAGGTGTCCCATTGAGATGCATTGATTGTTCTATCTGGATCTTGCTGTTGAAGTGTTATCAGATCTCAGGAGTCGTTCCTAGCGTGTTACAACGCTGGTATGCCGAGCGTACCCCGTTTACCATACAGAGACAAAGAGGGAATGGGTACTTGATGAATAACCCTGTCCTTAGTGGTAAAATACCACCCCTCAGTTCGACACACCCCCTCAGCGAGTGCCCTTTCTGCTCTTGCAGATGTGTGCGTTAGACCTCGCCCATTACCAGATGTTGCCGTATATCCTCCATACCCATCGATTGCATGAAACCGAGATGCTTTTGGCGGGGTAGTAGCTTTGTGAGACCATCAGCTATCATATCGGCGGTTCTCACCCAGTGTACGTTGATGCGCTTGCTCTGAACTTCTTGCCGAAGCCAGTGCTGGTGTATGTCAATATGGCGGAGCTTCGTGCGCAGTTGAGGTGTTTCTTTTTCGAGAATCCCGATAGTCTGTTGGTTGTCGCATCTGATGCTTAGCTCGTGCTCAGGATCGAAGCGTATTGCTTTGAATAGCCGTTTCCACATGGCCACAGTCCTGGCAGCTTCTGAAATCGCAAGGAGCTCAGCTTCGGTTGTACTGGTAGTCACCGTACGCTGCTTGCTGGCCTTCCAATCGACAGGTCCTCCAAACATCATACATGTGTATCCTTCAGAGCTTTTTCGATCAGGATTATCGGCGAATGAGGCGTCGCTAAAGAACTGAACTGCCTCTGGTATCTGACTATTTTTCTGTGATCGATCGCGCGCTCTGTACGCGATCGCCGATGTCCGAGTGTTGTAAAGGTACGAGATGACTCTATTGATCGCATCAAGGTGCTGGGGACCGGGATTTGTGAGGAATTGAGCGAGTGTAGCCGTCGCTTTCGCCGAGTCCGGTCTAGTGATTGTCGTTGCATATTGGGCTGAGCCAACCTTCTCCTGGTACTCGTGAATCTGTTGAGGCGTCGCCTGGCCGTCAAATGGCTTGAGTGAGTAACTAGGAAGTGGTGTATCGTATCTGCGAGATCCGGTGAGATGGTAACGGTGAGCCATCGAGGATATATATGAATCCTGACAGAGCCAGAGGGCCATCTGTTGTCTGTCACGGAGAATGCGTATCCCGAGGAACCACTGCGCCTCTCCCATATCTCGAAGCTCCCAGTGTTTGCTGAGCTGTTCTCTTAGGTTTTCGGCTGCCGTATGCTTTGAAGCATGGTTTACGATGATGATATCGTCAACATAGAAGAATACGATGATGCCGTCCGCTGCAAAGAGGCAGATATCTTCCTGTACTACCTGCAAGCCTAGAGATGTGAAGATCTTAGACGCTTCTCGTTGCCATAGGCGTGGAGATTTCCGTAGGCCGTAAAGAGCTCTAAGAAGCTTCCAGCACTTGGTTTTGCCATCTTTGTCAAACCCTGGTGGTAATGAGACGTATACAATCTCATCTAGTAGGCTGTTGAGGAATGCGTTGACAGCATCGTATTGGCGTGTGTCCAGATCGAATGCAGCGACCAGCGCGAATACAGCACGTGCGGTTCGCACTGCGAGAGTAGCTGAGTACTTTTCTTCTGCCGTCATCCGTTGGAGATCTCCTCGTACGCATAGCCTTGCTTTCAGCTTGCTCAGGAACCCATTGCTATCAAATTTATAAGTGAAGACCCATTTGAGAGGTAGGATCTGAATGCTGCGGTCTGTTGGACGCTGTACTACCTCGAAGGTGCTTTTGCGAGTGAGTGTGTCAACTTCAAGGCCTGCAGCGGCAAGAAAGCCCTTGTGATATTGATGGTTGATCATCTCCTTCCAGTTCTGAGGCTCTGAAGGCAGATCATCGCGGTGCACGAGGTTATGAAGGTGAGGAGCGTTTAGTCCTGTTGCGAACGCTGCTAAGACACCTTCATGATAGTCTTCTGGCTCTTCTAGCGCGGCGGTAAATGCCTGGTCCACTGGTTTCCTGTTCCGTGCTCCAGTGACGATGTTTTGATCCGATACATCTCCAACGATATCCCTTGGTGCTCTTGGATGTGCTGTCTCATGTTGTGCGGGCCTTCGATCTCCGGGAAATGCTCCTTGAGATGATTGCTGCGTCTGAGGCGCCGGCAGAAGCTGTGGCTCTGCCGAGGGTGTTAGAGACGGTGTGACCGTCTGTTGAGGTTGGCCTGGTGACTTTGGTGGTTCAAAGGCATTTTCCTGGCGTTGAACGTCCGGTATGGCCTCTGGTGACTGCTGAGTACTCTCACTAGCTGGCTCGTTTGTTTCTGGCTGGTTGTCAAGCTGTGTGAGCTGCTCGATATCCTCATGCTCGTCTTCACCAATTTCCCATGGCATAGCTTCGATTACGTCGCTAATAGGTGGCTTTTCTAGTTCTTTGGGGTCATATCGTAGATTCTCATCGAATACTACGTCCCTGACCTCTCGCACGGCTCCTCTGCGCGGAAACCACACTCGCCAGATGTTCGAGGCTGTGTAGCCTACTAGATATCCGATATCCGCGCGCGGCTCCATCTTGTGGCTCTTTGGAATATCCTGACGGCGCACGTAAGCGCGACATCCGTATAGCCGCAGATTTGAGAGGTTGATGCGTTGTTTTGGCTGTGCGTGGTCGATTCCTGTTGCCTCAGCGTATGGAATAATCCACTGACCGTTTGGAAGCTTAGTGGGCGATCTGTTGATGATGTATATAGCTGCTTTGACGGCTTCTGGCCAGAGAGCCTTCGGAAGGCCTGCTTCTAGCAGTAAGGCTCGTGCCCTCGCAATTATCACCCCCCCAGATCGTTCACTGAAGCTGTTCATCTCTGGTGTGCCCACCACACTGTGTTCCACGATGAAGCCACATTCACGAAGGAAATCTTCTACCGTGCGGCCGGCAGCGCGCTCGTTATCATAGCGAAAGGCTCGAATTGGCAGCTTCAATTGTGTTATTGCGAACGCGACAAAATGCTTGACTGCATCCTGACAACCACTCTTCTTCTCGTGTGTAGAGGCGGCATGTAAGCGTATCCCTTCGACGTAGAAGTGTGTCATCCACTTATCATCGTTGTATGCTGTCTCGATCCGCACAAGGTCAAAGTGAATTCGACCATATCTGCCGTACTTGGTTCCATGAACTCTTCTCGAGATTTGGCGCTTTGCGCTAGTCATTTGACAGACTTCACATCTCTCAGGATTGCCGATAGCATTATCGATATGTTGACCAGTGATCTTGATTCCATCAACGAGTTCTGCAAGTTTCTGGATACGCTGATCATACATATGACCTAGGCGTTGATGCCAACGCTCGGCCGTGGCTGAGGATATTAGTGGTTTTTGTGAATGCTTGACTGTCGCGAACCCAGCCGGAATTGGCCGGTATTCGAGTACGTATAGCCCACATTTCTCCTCGAGCTTTGCAATAGGCTGACCGCAGTGAACGAGTGCTAGTAACTCGATATCCATGATGAATCCCTTGCTCTTCAGTCTCGACGCGGATAGTAGGTTCGTGTGGAATCCTGGCGAATACCGTACGTCCGAGACCTCTCCGATAGAGGTCTTTCCGGTCTCGGGGTCTGTGAGGTTCACTCTCACCGTTCCAAAGCCTTGAATTCTTGTAGAAGCGTCTCCGGTGATGACAGTGTAGTCAGCAGGAGTGAATGAGACGAATCTCTCGCGATCGTTGCTGATGTGAGTATTCGCGCCGGTATCAACGATCCAGCTATTCTTTAGCGGAAACTCATCACTCTCTTGCGCCGCTTGTACCGCAAGATCATGCGAAAACATAGAGATGATCTGTTCGATCGACCGTTGATCTTCTGAGGCTGCAAACTGAGCTGATTCGGTCTTGGCTAGCTTTGCGATGGCTTCCTGGTCCTGGAGACTCATCCTCTTGATGAATTCAGGGATTTTCTTCTCCACAGCTTCGTTCGGGTTCCAGCCTTCTGGCCTCAGCGATTTGTTGAGATAGTAGCACTGCTGATACGTATGGGCGCCATTACCACACGGGCACCGTGTACGGTACGTTTTCTCCGCTAGTTTGGACTTATTTTGACCAAGTCTCGCCTCATGCTGACCATCTAGCGTGGCAAGTGCAACCTTCGACGATCCCTTCTTCGCTGACTGTCCAAGAGCCTTACGACGTGATCGGTATGAGGAGATAACGTCATGGAAGGATATATCGTGTATGAGGATTTTCTCCTGCCACGCGGTGCAGAATACGTCATCTATAGGCTGAATAGCGCGCAGGAAGTCTCGGATAGCGTACTTGACACTGTATACCACATCAGGCACATCTGCACACTTTGCTTCCTCATATAGACTCGTCCACTGAGTGAGCCAGTGATCTGTATTGACGTTATTCGCTGGTTGTTTGATCATGGCTCTCCACGCAAGTCGAAGCTCTTCGGTCCGGGTCTCTGGCTTTGGCTTGAATTCACGAGCTAGCCTGACAAGTTTCTGATGCGGCGAAACCTCATCGACAGTGAGATAGTGATACTCGGTTGCGAGAGAACGTGTGATTAGACTGTTCATGCGTGCCATCACCTTCAGCAGACGCACCCGTTGAGTCTCACGTCTATCGTAGGCTTGAATGCGTCGAGTCCACTGGGTAAATTCCTTCTCTGTGAGTTCAAACTCATCCTCCACGTCTTCGCGAATACTGCTAGGTTGAGGCTCTTGGGCGGCCTCCGGAACCTGTCGTACGCTCTCTTCGGAAAGATCTGGATTCAAGTATTCCCACACATCTTCGGAGATAGCTGCTGATCGTATATGGCCTATCCAGACTCTCCATTGACCTTCCGACCGTAGTCGCTGGTCCTGAGGCACTGCCCTCAGTTCTTCTGAGTAGAGGCTTTCTGACATCCTTATACTGCTTTCCCTATTATATCCTATCGTTCTGTTCGCAATCGGTCGTCGGCAACGCTCGCATGTGCCGTTTGGGGGTAACCGGGCGATTCAGGGGTATCCGAGATCTGCGGAAGATTATACGCGCTGCTAAGATATAGAGCAGAGAGGTCTGATATATCTTAATGGATATTGCAACGGGCAATCGGGCTCATAACTGTCGGATTGACGGATACTGGTATGTGCTAGTATTGAGGTGTCCCATTGAGATGCATTGATTGTTTTATCTGGATCTTGCTGTTGAAGTGTTATCAGATCTCAGGAGTCGTTCCTAGCGTGTTACAACGCTGGTATGCCGAGCGTACCCCGTTTACCATACAGAGACAAAGAGGGAATGGGTACTTGATGAATAACCCTGTCCTTAGTGGTAAAATACCACCCCTCAGTTCGACAATTTACTTTGGGCGAGAGCCAACCACTATGTTGCATGTGTTCCCACTACCCCGCCTACATGGGACCGTCTCGCACTCGGACGACCGGGGTCGTACCACTTCGCAATACCACCTGTAGATGCCGACACCTGCGAGCACCTATTTCATAACTTCAGTTGCTGGTATATTTTGCGAATTATTGAGCGACCAATAAATGTCCAAGAGAATGCAGCGTCTGAAATGGCTGAAATTGACAGTATAGCACCTGACCAAACCGTTTCCATCTCGTGTTACCCAAGCTGTGACGCATACCACCTGCATGATGCGTTGTACTCGCATATGATTCCAACTTATAACTGGTTGAGCTTTAGCGGGCTTATGATTGGTAGAATATATGGTTGGTAGATTATGTAGATAAACAGAATGCCTTGGAGAAAACCTCTACGATTCCTCGAGAGTTTATTTTTATTTTTTTCTAACATTTCTTCTTTTTACGCACTTGAGAATTAACTCGGGCTCTTTTGGTACCGTACTGTAATGCCGTTTGGCCAACGAGTTGGCTACATGATCAATTGGCTTCACTCTCAACCTTTCTCATTTTCCCATACAATTTTAGCCAATCGAACATCCAATTTTGTTGCAATGACCGACATATCTGAAGCAAGTGCCCCTGAGTTCGCGAGATCGTATGTAAAGTTACATTCCTGTGAACGATCGCCTCTGACTTTTCTACAATATAGCTTCCTTTCATTCTATCGCGGACCTTACGTGAAGATACAAGTCAATTCTGGAAATCATGAATACACGGTGTCAAAAACTCTTCTTTGCAGAGAGTCTGCATATTTTTCCGCGATGTTTGAAAATGAATTCAAAGAGGGCCAAGAGCAGAAAGCCACCTTGGACAAAGTCGAAGGTGTTGTTTCAGCGCAAAGTTTCGAGGCTCTCTTGCAATGGCTATACCTCGGTAGGGTGAAATTCGAGCTGATGGTACCCGAAGATCAAATTTCAGCTGCAATAGAACTTGCGAGATTTGCTGATATGTGCCAAATCACTGGATTGGAATCCGAAATGGCCCGATACATCGAAGAGATACTTAATGCAAATCCGGAGCCCGAGCCATTTACAGGACGACATGTCGATATAAATACCTATTGTCTCGAGCCTCGGCATATTATCTCGGCAACGCTTCTGCCTGGAGGCCATTCAGTACGTCAGATTTTAGCTAAGGCTTCGGTTGGGGGATATCTTCGTGACGAAAACCACAAATTCAAACAAGAGACTGGGCAGCATCCCACCTTTGGCTCTGAAGTTCTCCAAGAAGTAAGGAAGACTTTGAATGGACTGGAGGTCTCACAGTATGAGGCTACTGTTAATGATCCCTTAAGCGGGAGGCGAATAAAGCTCAATTCTCCTTTTGTTTGATTAAAATCACAGCTCGTCATAAATAAAGACTTGTCTACTACTGTATAGGCCTATTTCTGTGCAATATCCAATTTTTATTCGATTATGAAACCGAACTACTCAAAAGTTTTGGAAAGCTTCTGGTCTGTGTAGCTCCCGTTATCTTAACATCATCACAAGTATCGAAACTTCACAGAGTATGAGGGTTAATAGAGCCTATGTAAATCTTTTCTCGGCTAAGCAGACTTGTAGTAAATTCGCAGCATTTGGAATTTGACCAGAAGTCTTTCAGGTGAAGGTGTGAATAGCCGTAGTAGATAAAACAATAAAGCAAGCGCATAAGCATCAGGCTACATTTCATGCTGTAGGTTTTTCATAACACCAAACGGCAAGCATAAAATCAACCAACAGATGTAGGAAACGACTCGAGCTTCAAGGTCACGTCTTGGCAAGAAATGTAAAAGGCATTATCCACCGGCAGTTCATATAGGGTTTCCTTTGTCAATCCTAGTGGATCAATGACGAGCGATCCATCTGGCAGTCTCTCATCTCCACCATTGTCAATTCTTTCAATACTGTATATAATTGAATGAGGCGTCAAACATGAGCCTGGTGTGGTTTCCATATAAATATGGACTTCAAGGGAGCCGGAAACAAAAGTCGCTTCTTCGCTGGTGCATAGGATGCACGGAAAACCTTCTACCGATCCTATTTTGTGGCTCACAGGCACAGGTTCTGTTGACGACAAAAGCTTCTTTGCGATAGGCTCTCCAACCGCAGTGGGCTGTAGATTTCGTGAAGAAAGATGTAAAGAGAAAGAACTTCTTGTCGTTGGCGAAAGCGAAAGTGGCAGTAGAGTGCTTTCGTAAGGGGGTTGAGGATGGATATGTTTGTGACCAACAATTCTCGCACCTATAGTGTTTCGAGCCAGGTTCAAAAGCACTTGATTGAGTTCCTCCTGCAACCCCTTCATTTGCAAAAGATTGGGTAATCTCCATCCGGGGTATAATCTCCCATGGGTTCGTGATGTGTGCATCTTGCCATGCGTTTTTATAAAAGCATTGCAAAGAAAGCAGGCGTCTTTGCTTGACGCAATGACACGTGGAAACAATTCAGGTGACGACTCAATCTCACAAAAGGCGATTAGCTGTATTTCGGAGTGGATCTTTGACTCTTCCAAGGCTTTCTGTGTTTCTTGTGAAAACATCTCATGGGAAAACTTAATCTTAGAGGGTGCCATGCATCGCGATATCTGGGAAACATCATAACGGTGACCATTAATGATGCCTAGCAGTGGTACCAAATCCTCGAGTTTCGCGACGTGGCTGGGGCTATTAAGCCTGTCGTATGCCACTTGGGGGAGGGTAGCTAGCTGAAGCTTCATATTTCGCACCACGGGGTGTCTTTTGGCGATGTGGTATAAGATTCTAGCTGCCTCATGATATCTTGACACTTTCCTGATGATGTTGCAGAGGCAGCTTGCAAAGTTTGAATCCTGAACAACTCCATGTAAACCAGTCGGAATAAGGTGCAAGAGATCGGATAAGTTTGGTATTTCATTCAAACGTCGAATCAGCCCCAAAAGCTCAGTAAGGCGAGATTGCACCCGATGATTAAGCCAATTATTCACCAGCCGAACAGCTTCCTTTGAAAGCGATATAAACCGACATGAGGTGGCGGTGAAGCTTGAATCTCGGAATTTTTGGGGGCTTATTCGCCCAACACCATCTATTGCTACTTGCAATAACTCTTTGATTGATGGCCTAATCCCATTTCTTTTGCTTGGAGTCAGACGTAGCCGACAAAGAATTCTTGGGGAGCACATTGCAACGATTGATTCAAGGATTTCCTCTCTGGTTTCTGTGGATCTTGCGCGGCCTAAATAAGATAAGCAAACAATCTGGAATGGTAGTAGAAAAGACATACGTACGATCAAATTCTGCGTTACGAAGAATATCGAAAATGACTTCAAATCGTGCTTTTATGGATCGAAGTATATCATCACCGTCATTCCAGGTACATTTGTTGACAGCCAGAAGGACCTTTAAGTGACTAGCAGCCCGATCTTGCTCCACGCAGACCGATGGGATGTAATCTGAACCATCCCGACTCTTGGAAAGATAGGATAGTATCTCCACCAACTCGCGCTCTGTCGAGAATGGCAATTTGTATTGTTTATTGGATGAGGTAGGTTGACTCTTCCGTTTTTGGCTTTTGGTTTCGGGGAACTTATGTAGAAGAAAATTGAGCGCTATCAGCTGAGCGCAAAGTACATGAGACATTTGGAAGTTCCTATTAATATCGCGGAAATCACCGAGTAAACCTTGAGAGGGCGAGAAAGTATTCCGAGATTCACAAGACGGCTATGCTGTTACAAAAAGAGAAAATAGGACTGCAAGGCCAGCATAAGAACATGTGGGCGTCGTCAGCAGCAAATAAGTATGATTAGTCATATGTTCAACTCGCGCAGGCAAACACGCAGGCAGGGAGACGTGATACCATTCCACAGGCCCCCGAGCGGCCCGCCCGCGTCACAGCTAATTGGACAGATTGGTGGCTGCACACTACTTCTGCGCGAACACATGTACAAAAAGAAAGAAATCACGCAGACAATCCTTACGTATATGAAATGAGACGAAAAATGCAACAAGGGGTACAACGAGCGAAAGCCGAATTGTTTGAAATTAAGGCAGTTAAGACGTAAGAGCGATTTCTGGCATGAGAACAGAATATCAGCGTTGAAGCCGGATAAGAGGTCAGATGAGCTTGCTTCTATCTTGACTTTGCCTGAGGGCTTTCCTTCTATTGAATTTTTCTAACTTACCCCTTATCGGTATCAGCTAGTAAGCACCAGGGTCAAGTCCTCCGTGTCTCTAAAAAGCTGCAATGGGATTTCCAAACCCTGCCACGTCTCCAGCTGAACTGGCATCGTATGTTTTGAATTGTTGAATCAGCGTTGTAGAAACTTCAAAGAAATTATGATTATACCGTAGTACAGAAGCTACGTACACTGACTCAACACCGCGGAAGCCAATAAGCGCTGTACTCGACCTTGCGCCCGGGCTTTGACTACCGATTTGATCAAGCAGCGCGTCGCTTCGGACAAAGTTTGGATCACACGTAAATGGCACAATTCGCACAGGGCTGGGCGGCGCTTACGGTCACCCCAGAGAGAAACGGCAATTAGCCAGTCGACCTGTTCGGTTCGGTTCTCTGACTTACCCGGAGGCAGATGAAACTGTGCATTGATCGAGCTACGATTATCGCCACAGAAGTATATAGATCCCTGATCAAATCAATGTCTGTTGAGTTCAAACATGATCGTGCTTCGGCAGGTCCCGATCGGTTTGATCACCAGCAACGGCTGAATGCTGGCGAGAGTGAACTAGATCGCCTCTCACTTTGACCCTCGATATGATTTTTCATAGCGACACTTTACTATCCTTTAATCACGGTAATGGATGTAATGTGACTGCAAGGTAAGTCATGGTCGTATACCCCAAATTCATTTTGGTTCGGGGGCTTTTACGTGATTGCAGGTCGTGCTAATCAAAAACGCCTAAATAACGGAATCCTGAAGGCCAATCATTTAGCGCCTAGTCAGGTCAGCACACCCTGGGGTGACGGGGGTAGGGGGCTTTGGTTAGTCAACAATTTTCCTGGCTCTGCTGACGTATCTGTTTGCTCACCTTGGGTGGAAGAAATCAGTCAGGTCGATCATCGAACGCTCATTAATATGTACATTGATAAACATGGCTGGCTCAAGTCTATGCCCTGTCATTATTCGAGTGCCACAGAAATTGAAATGCATCATGTCTAGGCCAAAGTTTTACTTTATCGCGGAATTGAACGGATGGAAAAATTGAACTGTTCTAAAATTGAAAGTGGGGTAAGAGGGTTACTTGACGGTTATCAGGAGAAATATTAGGGCGCGCTAAAGCGCTGAATCATACCGTGTGGTTGGCAGTCCAAAATCGAACGGAGCTAGGCGCTCCGCGGAGAAAATGCTCATCCCGCCCCCCTCCCCTTCCCCCATGTGCCGGATTTAGCTACAAATAACAATCTCCTCGCAATCATAGTAGAGGATTATTTATATTATTTATCTCTTTCGTTAGTATCAAGAATGTTGACTAAAGGAGAATCAGCTCGACAAAGTCTAGCAAATTGTTTCTTGGATCTCAGAAACAAGTTGCGATCCGGCGGCTCCAATCCTCGTTTGAATCAAGGCCAATTATCCGATGTGCAGAGCCTTATGGGAGAGATTGAAGCGCTAGAGCTCTCAATTCGCATGCTTAATAAATGGGGAGATCTGACGGATATGCACGACATATTGTCCTGGCTTGAGCATGCCTGTCGAGAGCCTATTGCGGAATACGACCAGTTGGAAGAAATCCTCAAAGGATCTCGTTTGACCATCTGCATCAGGGCTTTATATCCCATTATGTGAGGCTTCTTAGCAACTTCTGTGGCCTTTGCTAATCTATTTCCAGTTGCTCGGCGTTTATTACGAAAGACATCAAAGGTCAATACCAGCAGCTCATCACAAGCGCCATTAAATTCTTTGAAAAGAAGATGGCGGAGGCCGCGTTCTCCGAGATCAATCTCTTTGGTCAGTGCTCAGATTTCTGCGGAGCCTTAATTCAACAAATTCGACAGGTGACGGCCTATGATTCGGAGGATCTTAACTTCAATCAGCGAGGCTCGGCTCTCTGCCTGTATTCCGAGTCAGACCAAGCTGGTATATGCAGCAAACTCAGAAGTGATAATGTACCCCCCGTTGGAATTTATAAATGGTCCGAGGAAAAGAATGCCGTGGGGGTTTTGAACTTGCTATTACATGACAAGGTATCTTTCAAAGACGCAATCGAATGGTTCACACCGCTCATTGTGGTCGCGGCTCAACTATACAACACTCCATGCATTCTGGCGCTGAAAGATGAGAAATTCGAAGCTAGCACCCCACAGGGTCAAGGAAACGAGTGCTTCATCTGTGCGGACAAGCTTGATGAAGACAACATAATCTCTCGGTTGCCTTGTCAACATTACTTCCATCGACAATGTGTCGTATCTTGGCTTTGCTACAAGGAAACCTGTCCAATGTGTCGCCATCACATATAATGCTTGAAGATCAGTACCATGTCAAAGTACAACGATGGAAGATGAGCATTTGACACATTGAGCAATCTACATAGATTTTGGCTCAAAGCTGCCACCAAGAACATGAAAGAATGGATTTATTATAGCGCACCGTAGCATTGCTGTGACCCTGAGTGTTGCAATTTTCCCGAGAAATTATTCATTTACATCAGCCATGCATGAATTGTTTCCAAGTTAAGCTCGACTGACCAGCTGGCTAAGGACGCCGCATTGCCCAGGCAAAACACACCTTCCGCCCTCTGCTCACGAAAGAGAGAGTATTCATCCGTGCTCAGTGGAGCAGGGATGGAAGGAACCCACCAAAAGTGGTCGTCTACGAAGACTCGATGCCGTAATCACCTGCTTGCTACATCAACCCACCCAGCATACTGCTCAATATTGGCCACGATTGGTTGGCTAGTCAGATCAAGCGATGAACACGCTTTACTTTCAATCAGGAGATCTAATGGTAAACCATCTCAGTAACTTTGTAGTAAAGTCAATTACTCTGCATGACCCAGACATCTGCTGGCTTCGCATTCGACTCGAGTGACGGGAAGCGAGGGGGGTCCCACAACAGCTCTACGACGCGTGCTCCATCGCATCTTCCGCGTCTTCCGCCCTCGACCTCACTGACTTCACACCGAATGGCGGAGTGTATGAACCTCTCGCCGTCCGCATCGCGAGGTCTTTGCTCATTACGTCTGTACAATTCCCTGTCACAGGTGGTTCGTCACGCACCTTTGGCTCTCAGAAGTTGCTCAGTGCATCCAGCGCGGCTTCTTCGAAGCGAGCCGGGGAGTGCGACGAACTGGAGACAACATCATGTCAACATGACATGAATGGTGACTGCATTGATGGAGACAATTGTAAGTGATCTCGTCGGTAAGATATGACCACGAAGTCTTGAAACATCCACGGGGAAGTCATGGCAGCTAGACAGAAGCCAGTTCGAGACGCGCTGTTGGTGAGCCAGGTCTCAGGCCAGCACCAGTTGCACAGCTCAATGTACAGCGAAGAATGAGACCTGAGATCTCGCAGCTTATCAGGAGGATATACCCCAAGCTCGAGGACCATGAAAGCGTGACGACTCTACCCAATGTTGTTGGGATGCGTAACAACCTCTTTGGCTGGGCCATCGTTGTGCCGAGGATTGGAAGATGACGGCAGCCGTGTGAAGTCTCATAGCAACCAATGGGAGGTCGACATGGCTACTGCGCTTGTTCAGCATCTTTTCCGGCAGGGAGAGTACACAAGCGCGGATATTGCGCTCTTGACTCCCTATACCGGGCAATTACGGAAACTTAGGACGTCACTCAGCAATGATTTCGAGATTTGTCTTAGTGACCGGGACTTGGAAACTTTGGCCGCGGATAGGTTTGAGAAGGCTGAAGATGAGAAACCTGAATCAAGTGGTTACAATGCAACCGAGAAGAAAACTTTGCTCCAGACGCTTCGCCTTGCAACTGTCGACAACTTCCAAGGTGAGGAAGCAAAGGTGATTGTTGTCTCCCTAGTTCGCAGCGACCAAAAGCGGAAGGTTGGCTTCCTACACACCGAAAATCGCATCAATATGCTCCTCAGCCACGCTCAGCACGGCATGTATCTCATCGGAAATACCGAAACATTTCTCAATGTCCCCATGTGGGCCGATGTCCACTCTCAGCTATCCCGTGTGGATGCCGTCGGCGCGGAGTTGGCTCTCTGCTGTCCTCGACACCCCGACACGCCTATTCTATGCTCTGAGCTCGCGACTTTGAACGGAAGAGCCCTGAAGGTGGGTGCAGTCTGCCGTGTACCCGTCGACTTGAGCCATGTGGTCATCAATGCCAGGCCAAGTGCCATTCGGTGGTCATGCACGACGGCTTTGCATGTGGAAAGCCCTGCCCCCGTATCCGATCGACCTGTGAGCATGAATGCCCCAAGATTTGTGGTGAAGATTGTGGCCATTGCATGACGGAAATCGAAAACGTGGAGCTCCCTTGTGGTCATATCAAGAAGATCATCTTTTGTCATCAAATACTTAACTTGAAAGTCATTAAGTGCGGCGTCAAAGTCAAAAAGGCTGTACCCAAGTGTGGTCATACGATTCAGGTTGGCTGTTTCAAGGACGTTACTGCCCTGAGCCATGCACGGACATTCTCAGCTGTTGCCACAGTTGTAGTGATTGCTGCGCAAACTGTTTGAAGGAGGTCCATGACGGAAGAAAGATATTGAAGCACTCGAATTGCGCGAAAATATGCGACCGTCCACATGGTGCTTGCAACCATCGATGTCCCAAGACTTGTCATAACGGGGAGAGTTGCGGCTACTGCGGAGTAAAGTGCGAGTTATGTCTCAGTGGAATCCATCACCTCATTATCGTATCGAAATCTTAATCATATATACAGGTTCAATGTTCACACTCAGCATGTGGCTTAAACTGTGGAGTGGCATATGCACCATGCATTGAGAAATGCACATGGTCCTGCACTCACCAAGGCTCCTGCTCAATGCCTTGCGCGGCACCATGCGATCGACTTCCTTGTGATGAGCGGTGCGCTAAGATCTTCAAATGCGGTCATCAGTGTCCGAGCCTCTGCGGGGAAGATTGTCCAAACAATCTGTGCCAAGAGTGCGGTGACAAGGGAGATGCCCGTGTTGACCTCCTCGAATGGAAAACCTATTCCGAAATCAATCTCCATGAATCTTCGATCATCGTGCTTGGATGCGGTCATTTCTTTACAAGCGAATCGGTTGATGGATTGGTTGGCTTGGATGAAGTTTACACGAGAGATAAGGATGGAAGATTCGACAGCCTTCGAGACGTCTGTTCTCTCGTCACTGCCATGCCGTCGTGCAGATTGTAAGCAGCACATTCGTCAGTTTGCGACGAAATGTTACAAATGTGCGATCAACCGCGCTGTTATGGATGGGATTTGTAAGGGGTCCCTTACCAAAGGTCGCACCGACCTCGAAGTCCTTGAGTCTCGTCTCAATGACGTTGAAGACAAGCTTAAGTCTACGGAAGCATTTTTGGCAACGGGAGACGCTAAATCACAGCTCAAGGCACGATATACGGCCTGTGAACACCTTGAGACGGAGGCTACAAGTCTCAGCAAAACCATGGAGGCCGAGAATCAGCCAATGCAACGGCTCAGGGATGCAATTACTATCTACCAAGAATCTGCAAGGGACAAAGTCGCCCCCCTTTCAACCCGAATGGAGCCTATGAGATTAGCACCAAGAGAGCCTGATAATGAAATCTCACTCGACGCACGGCTAATATCCATCAATGCCCCGGCAGTCGTGCTCAGCGATATGTTTAGAGTGGTACATTCAAGCATAAAACTGCAGCAATACGACGGCTCAGATTCACCAAGCCATCATCAACATTGACTCCAGTGTTGAAACAGTGTCGAGACTTGATCACCCAGGCCAATGGAAGAAGTCTCTCTCGTATCGTCATCAGAGCAACCATATCATTCGCCAAGATCGCCCAGCTGGACGCGTGGTATCACCGCACTCATCCAGTAGAAACGACAACAAATCTTCATCCCCAAGAAGAGTACACGGGTTTTGAGAAAGTCGAAGACCGCACTAAAACTACCCGTTATCTCCTCATCGTCGCATTGAAACTATGCGACGAACTGCGAAACTGCCCAGAGCTTCAAGAAAAAGTCCGGGAAATGACCCGTCTCTATGAGGGGCCACGTTATGAGACCGTCACTTTAGAAGAACTTCAATCAATCAAGACGGCCATGGTCAACGGTCGATGGGGAATCGCTACACACTCTGGGCACTGGTACAATTGCGTCCGTGGACATCCAGTGAGTGAATTCCCATTTTTCTCGAACTATCTCGAATAGTTTTGACGAAGCTGAATAATCGAGTTTCTAGTTTGCTATTGGAGAGTGCGGTATGCCAATGGATCAAGCTAGATGTCCGAGTGTGGAGCACCAGTTGGGGTCAGAATCACACGGCTGTTGAAGGCGTATCTCGAGCGCGCGAGATGGAGTAGTTGGTAACTTTAGAGTGCAGTGGTAGTAGTAGTATTAGTTCTAGTATCCATTTATACTGACCCCTCGCAAAGTTGATTTCCCAACTAGATCAAAATACGAATTCGTCCCCAGCCTAGTGGGTTGTGGGTTAAAATCCAACTTTGCGAGGAGTCAGTGTAAATGAATTCTACTACTACTGTATATGAAACCCACAACTATATCTCAGTAAGTCCACATGTAGAATTTTCGACTCTATGAACTCAGAACCTTACCAAAGCCTTTCGTGGCCTGACCAAACTGTTTAAAATGTGAGGGGCAGTACTATATCATTTGACTAGCTAGGTCAGACTCGTGCACCTCGGAATTTTGTAGAATGAAGATTCGAGCAAGCTAACTCTACAATTTTCAATCTTAGTGTTACAATTATCATGGGTTTTCAAAGTGGCGGTCTTAAAATGGTCCTTGGATGAGCCGATAGCCCTGACTATTCCATCCAATTCAGACTGGTGGCTTGAGTATGTACATAAAAGGCCATTGTTAACGAGTAACAAATGTCCCCTGGACCCAGTTTACTTGCAAAGGATCCCTGTCCCGGCGGTACAGGTATTGTAGGTGTCGCCACAAGTCATTTGATGTTCCCACGGCAATATATTGACGGCTTTCGATGTCGTACACGATGGTGCGACTATATTCATATTAATGGCGATAATTTATTAATTTTAAATAGAGTTATACTCACACCCAAAAACGACAGCCAGATCCTCCACCAGAGAACTGATATCGATGGCGGAAATTTCGGTAAATTGTATCAGCGACATGTCGAACCTCAATAGCCATAGTAACCGGATAGTCCCAGTGCCGTATCGCCGAATTTGTGAGGAGATATGTGAGATTTGACCATTCAAGACGTCCATCTATTTCTCCATAGTCTGTCACCATATTCACACGCACTGATCCACCGGTCCGAAGAAGGAGATATATCGACCAATGGTTGTCCGACCCATCTGTTGCAGCACCGGTGTGAACCACAACTCTTATGTGACTAATAAGCCGGGCATCTGCTATAACTTGATTTTGATTCAAATTGACCATATTATCTTGAATTCAATTTGGTCAGGTATGGAGGAGGGAAGGCAGGACAACTACATCGCTCATCTAGCTATCATTTTGGAGGGGTTGGGAGACATCGGACTATCTATTATCCGAGGCGATAGATCATGTGCGTCAAAGCGATCGAGACCATCGTTTTCTATCCCTTTCTTACTCTGTTTACCCCGCCTTCTAATGTCTGGTGCCACCATGTCTGTTCAATTAGACAATCACCAGTCGATCATTGACTATTGCCGTTCATGTCCAGAGGACCAGCTTACTGGAGGCTTTAGGTCTGGTAACCAGGTCATTAAGCTACCAGATTGTGACTTGGTAGTCAAGTTCGGCCCGTTTGTCTCCTCCCATGAGGCAAAGAATCAGCAAAAAAGCATACGGCATAATTAATCCAGATATCGTTACAGTCCCTTCGGTTCATAAATTTTTTGTGGACGATGAGGGTTGGGGCTACATTATATCGGATTTCATTCAGGGCAAGATTATTGATCCTCTTTCAGATTCTCACATTCAAAGACTCGCCCACATTGTTGAGTATTTTCGCTCTATTACCGCGGATAGGGCTGGTAGCCTGTGTGGTGGCCCTTCAATTGGCTTGCTCTGGCCAGATACAAATGATCTGACCATTACCAATGTTCAGCAAGTGGAAGAATGGTTTAACAGCCGGCTTTTTCCCGGAGATGGTAAGGTTCATTTTGATCCTACCCCACTGGTGCTCTGTCATTTAGACATAGCCCCCCGAAACATTATCTGGTTGGATGATGGTCGTGTCTGTTTACTGGACTGGGCATCAGCAGGATTTTATCCGAGACTGTTGGAATTTGCCAGTCTATTCTTTCAAGAATACCATTTCAGCGAGATGCTTCTGAAAGCAGTCGGTTTCGACTATGGTCGTGATAAAGAAGAACAGCAGAGGATCTGCCAGGCATTGTATAACAATGAAAGGTACTCCTTGTAAGTCAGAACCGACCAGAATTGTCTATCTTTGTCAAAGTTTCTGACCCAGAAAATAGTCGTTCGCGGGATATTCGAGAAGGGTCCTCACACGATGAAACAGCTGGTTGCATCTTTCCTCTTCCATTACTTCCGGAACCGCAAAAACTTCCGACTTGACCGGGGGAGGGGAGGGGGGGGATGGTACTAGAGAGTTGTTCTTGCTGGTCGTCGCTGTTGGATCAGATGAATGCTTTGAATGAATCGTCTTCAGCCAATTATACTCTCCAACTGAATCTAGTTCGCGCCTAGGGGCGCTCCAACGTAGAGGAAGGAGCCGGAGAGATTCCTACAAAGGCTTGCAGATCAGGGTCCCGATACAAAGATCTAGACTAAGTTAACTCTCTTTTGGAAATGCAGCTCAAAGCATGTTTGCTGCAACATAGCCGCCTTGTCTAAAAACAACGTTCTTTGCGTCTTCAAGTCATCGGCTGATTGCATCGATAGTCAAGATGACTTGATCTGTTCAAAGAACCTACCTAGCAAACCCCAAGTGGAAGGTCACGCGGTAGGTTCCACTTCGCCTTCTACGGCAGTGTCGAGATCGCATTGCACCCCGTCCGCTTTTCGCACTCAACTGGTTTGTTTGAGTTGCTCGGCCGGAAAGAGACTAGAAGATATAGAATCAATAGCCTGCTCGATCCTGCATACGTTCTATTTTGCGCTTTCCTCACCGTTGCTGGCAGCAGGCGCCTCCCTGGTATCCTTGACAAAGACAGCACCACCTAATCAGAAAAACGACCTTGCATCTCAGCATATTGACCGACTTCGATTTTTGGAACTAGAATCACGGATAATTGGTAACCGCATTATGTTGTAGGCACATGGGAGCCGTAGAATTGTGGTTCAACGTTGAACATGAATTTTGCGAAACGCACCTTTTACCATCGACATATGGTGTATCACTACTGTTGATCTGTCGCCTGATCCTAAGAAGCCATAATATGAGCCTTCTGATCGTTTCTCACCACAGTCGATTATTGCCGCATGGTCCCCCCAAGCTGCCTTTCACTGTCGAAATGAAAGCACTAGGTCAGCGTTGTTTGAACAACCACTTGAAAAACAGTATATAAACCTGCTAACGTCCAGTGCTGCCTCTCGTAAAGCATGCCCCGCCTCACCTCAAAGTTTGCCGAATGGCTTGCGAGAGCTTCCGTCCAAGATATATTCAGTCTCTGTGGGCTTCTCGCTCTCGTATGCTGGCTGTCTTATAGCCTCGGGCGCCGATACAGCCACGGCCTTTTGAGGTTGCAGCACGCGATATCCTGGAGACGTTTCTTCCAAGCGCCAACACCAGGCCCGCTCCAGCGGCTGGATATCCCATCATACTTGCAAGTGGGGATAGTTGCGGCCCTGGTAATTGCCAACATCATTGCAGTCAGCGTTCATGTTCGATCATGGGCGGAAGTGCAGAAGCGAGCTGGATGCTTGGCGGTCACACATCTTGTTCCCCTCTACTCCGGATTTAGCTTCAGTCTCCCGGCCCATGTCCACCGCGTGGAACGGGGCACGGTGCAATGGGCCCATCGGTGGCTAGGCCGCATTTGCGCATTGCACTGCCTGCTTCATGGGTCCGTCTTAGGCACAGTCGCTCGGAATACAAGACTTGCAGCTCCCCTCGTCATTCCGCTCGTGGTGCGTGAAGCGGGCCGGAGAACGGCAGCATCCCCAATTTTTCAGCGATATGCTAGCAAGAAAACTGGCTAATGTTGAACAGGCTGGTTGTAGTCTCCTGTCGATCCTGCCTTGGACGCTCGCTGCGATTCTTCGACGTTGGCCGCAACTCGGCCTCAAGGTCCACCATGTGCTTGCTTCCATCACCACCGGCGCCCTTGCCTACCATTTAATCGATCGTGCATCGACCTACCGCTGGGTTCTACTGGGCGGTATTTGGACCGGATTGGGCTGGAGTGCTGGGACATGTCTGCATACCATGTGGTTCCACAGGTCGTGGCGTATCACCTCTCGACGGGCGCTCGCGCGGTCTTTCAACCGGCTCTTATGGCTTGACATTGCGGTTCCCATGGAGTGGGTGGCTCAACCGGGGCAGTATGTACAGCTCTGGATGCCACGCTTAGGCGTGAGGTCCTCCTTGCAGCTTCCAGCATTCTACGTGGCATCCGTGGACACAGTACACAATACGCCAGGAGCACCCACCACTCGCATGTTACGCATAGTGACCCGACCCCGACCGGGCGTGACTGGAAGGATCGCACAAGCTGCAGATCATGCGACGTCGTCGACGATTCAATTCCCGGTCTGCGTGCTGGGTCCGTATGGGCATCCACCAAGCCTTGGCCAGCACGGGACCGTTGTCTTTGTACTTGAAGATATAGGACTCTTCCGCGCGTTGCCGTTCATACGACATCTCGTTCAAGAAAGCCGAACCCGGAAGAATACGGTGCGACGGTTAGAAGTCCTGTGGCAAGTTAGACTGAAGAATTTCAGTGAGTCCCCCCTCCCTCCCTTCTCGGATGCTTTGCGGCGTCGTGTGCTTACCGGAATAGACCATTCCCGCTGGGTGGGGGATGAAATCTCGCAAATCCTCGAACTCGACCGTATGTTTGACCGAAACGATTGTCCCGAGCATAGACACTGTGATGACCGGGGATTCGATGTGAGTAAATTTTCCATCTCCCTACTGTAGGTCGGCCTTAACTCGGTAGCAGATTCTGCAGTTCACCGCACATATTCTAGATACCCAGCCCGTGGACCGCATTCGTTATCGCAACCGTACGCGCTTGAAATATCATTTCCACGCTATCAATATC